GAGCTGGTAGAGGTGGTGATGGTGGTGGAGGTGGAGGTGGAGGTGGAGGCAGAAGTGATGGTGGTGGAGGTGGAGGTGGAGCAGGAAGACACGTACCTGGGTAGAGGAAAGGGCCATGTAAACAGTCCTGAGCTAATGGTCTTCAATTAATGATTGGCTATTCCTAAGTATTTTTGAAACCATTCTCTTCAATGTATTGAGTTTTATTTAAATTTATTTATTTTAATATTTTACCTATGTAACATGAGGGGGCCTGTTTGTTATTTGAGTTTTCTGTTCTGCCTGGCCCCCCAGCTGTTTAGTCCCAGAGAAAAATCACACAAAGGACTCTATAAGTTATAATGCTGATTGACCCATTAGGTCAGGCTTCTTGCTAGCTAACTCTCACATCTTGATTAACCCATTTTTCTGATCTATGTTAGCCATGTGGCTCAGTACCTTTTTCAGTGGGGCAGCTCACATCCTGCTGCTTCGGTGATCTGGGCAGGAGTGGGAGGAATCAACTTCCTCCTCCCAGAATTCTCCTGCTCTCCTTGCATTATTTCCACTTCCTGTCTGTTTTTCCCACCTACACCTCCTGCCTGGCCAATCAGTGTTTATTTAAAACATTATTGACAGAATACAGACAATTCTCCCACACCATACCTAAAATTAAAAAATGCATTTCATTTATTGTTGAGTGTGAGAATGAGTGCCGTGGCACCTGTGGGAATCAGAGGACAACTCTGGCGGGTTGGTTCTCCTTTACCCACTCAGCCATCTCACCAGCCCATCCACCTAAATTCATTAATTTTGAGCAGGATCTTTAGTATTTAGCTCTGACTGGCTGGTCTGGGATTTAACTGGGATTAAAGTTGTATGCTACCACATCCAGCAATCCAGCAAACTTTTTCTTTTTCTTTTCTTCTTTCTTTTTCCTTTAGCCTGGAACTCACTGATTTTGTTAGGTTGGCTGGCAGTGAGTTCCTGGGGTTAGATACATTCAGCACCGTGCCTGGCCTTTACATGGGTTATAGGGATCTGAACTTACGTCCTCGTGCATGCTTGAATGGCAGGAACTTAACCAACTGAGTCATCTCCACAGCCCCTCATTTAAAAAGTTTAAAGTTGTTGCCAGGCGGTGGTCCCAGCATTTAGAAGGCAGAGGCAGGCGGATCTCTGTGGGTTCAGGGCCAGCCTTGTCTACTGAGCAAATTCCTGAACAGCCAAGGCTATACGGAGAGACCCTGTCTTGAAAAACCAAAATCAAACAAGCAAACAAACAATTTAACGTTATAAATTTAGTAAGTTAGAAAGCGTGCCACACTTTCTGCCACACTATATACTACATACATGTGTATTATATATTTCTATGCATCTTAAATGTATTTTGGTACAAATTTCACTTTTATACTCCTTGACAGAGCCAGTCCTTATTGCCGGTCTGGTGGGCCACATTGGCTCCAGCAAGGCTGATCTCAAATTCAAGCAAGACCATTCTGCCACAGCTTCCCTAGTACTGAGGTTTTGAATGGGTACTCCCACTCCTGGCTTTCAGGCTTAACTTTTATGATTTGAAGTTACTTCTTTTCTTAGTTACATATTACATATGGTTAAGAAAATGAAACACTGTATTTGCCTGTGTGCTCACTTTATCTGAGTTCTAATCAGATTCATCTGGGCCATTTCCTTCTTACCCCAGGGCTTCCCTAGCTTTGTTCTGCTACATCTGCTGCTGCTGAACAGTTAGCTTTTGCATTCCTCAGTAGGCGTGCTACCTTTGGTTTCCAAGTACATGTTCATTGGTTACAGCTATTGAATCCAGTTGTTCTTGGTGGTGGTAGGAACTGCATGCAGGCTGTCGTGCATGCTAGGCCAGTGTTTTAAAGGCCTCTTTGCCTTGGGTTTTAGTAGTTCTAAGATACTGCTTCTTTGTCTTCTGGCTTACATTGTTTACAGAGAGAAGTCCACTGTTATTCTTCTGAATGTAAAAATGCTATTTTTCTTTGGTTGGTTTCTTTTAGAAAGTGTTATTATTATGGATTTGAAGCAACTTCACTGTGTTTTCCTTAGTGTAGTTTTTCTTTTTTTTTAATTTTAAAGTTTTAATTACTTTATTTTTAGTTTTATCTTTTACATTTATTTGTTTATCGCTAACATTGTAAATATTCTCATCCATTGTGGTGGAAATGTTAGTTCATTTAACTTTTGTAAATGGCATGATGGCAGCATATTGAAATGACAGCGTCAGTACCTTTGTCTGAGCATCTGATGATACACCTGTGAAGGACCCCAACTCATCTTAACCACAGTTATGCCGTTCTGCAAAGGTTTTCAGATAGCAAACTTAATTAAGGACCCCCAGAGTTCAGAGCCTCCGGAATGCGGAGCAGATAACCAGCTCCATTAAAAGGACCTCCGGAATCCAGTGCCTCTGAAATGCTGAGCAAAGACACCTGAGCAAAGACAGCCTCATCTGGCTGCGAGACATGAGATTTATGGATAGGTCATAGGAACAAAGAAAGAGAAGATTGCGAGGCCTGAGTCACGTAGAAAGCGGGGCTCGTCACGAATCAGGGGCTATGCTATCAGACATCTGGTCGCCAGCCAGGAAAGGGGAAGGCAGGATGAGAGGAACAATAAACCGCCGAGCAGTCCCCTCGATGTTATCTAGGTTAAAAATTTACCACCCTGCATCTCGCTTCTGTAAACCTTGCTTTTTGCTCCCCTATAAAAACCCCTCAACCCCAACCTGCGGCGCGCAAGTCCCCGAGAGACTTTGTCGCCCGCAGGTACCTGTGTACCCCAAATAAACGTCTTGCTGCTTGCATCCGGCTGCGTGCTTTCGACTGATCTTTGGGCTTGGGGTCTCTCCCGTGGGAAGACGCCCAGCGGGGAGTCTTTCACCTGTACAGGGTAGAACAATGAGTTTTCAAGGCAGTTCACTGTAGTAGGCTAATAAATTGAGAATTATTATGTAGCTGTATAAAAGAATAAAGTGGTTCTTTATGTATCTTTAAAATTATTTTTAGATGACTGGGTGGTGGTGGTGCTCGCCTTTAATCCCAGAATTTGGAAGACAGAGGCAAGTGGATCTCAGTGAGTTCAAGGCAACCCTGATCTACAAAGCAAGTTTCAGGACAGCCAGGAATGTTACACAGAGAAACCCTGTCTTGAAAAAAACAACAAAAAATTTTTTAGATTTATTCATTTAATTTTGGTTTCTTATTTATTTATTTATTTATTTATTTATTTATTTATTATGTATACAATATTCTGTCTGAGTGTATGTCTGAAGGCCAGAAGAGGGCACCAAACCTCATTACAGATGGTTGTAAGCCACCATGTGGTTGCTGGGAATTGAACTCGGGACCTCTGGAAGAGCAGGCAATGCTCTTACCCTCTGAGCCATCTCTCCAGCCCTTAATTTTGGTTTCTTGAGACAGTTTTCCTCTGCAGCTCCTGGAACTTAATCTGTTGACCAGACTGTCCTTGAACTCAGAGATTCACCTGCCTTAGCCTCCCAAATTCCAGGATTAAAAGCATTCCCCATCACTGCCCAGCAGATTAATTTATCTGAATTGCCTGTGTGTATGTGTGCCTGGTGCCCATGGAGGTCAGAAGAGGGTGTGGAATTCCTTAGAGGGGAATTATAGGCAGTTGTAAGCTACCTGTGTGGGTGCTGGGAACTGAACCTGGGTTGTTTTCAAGAATAACAAGTGCTCTTAACTGATGAGCCATCTCTTCAACTCCAGACTTGTTGATATTAAGACAGCTACATCAGATCAGGTATGGTGGTATGTGCTTGTAATCCCAGTACTGCATGGAAGATGCAGCCTGAAGGAGCACATGTTTAAAACCAACCTGGGATACACAGTGAGTTCAAGGCTAGCCTGAAGTACATAGTGAGGTTCTGTCTCAAAGAAAAGAATAGAAAAGTTGGGGATGGGAGTGGGTGGGTGGGTAGGGGATTGAGGTATGCAGGCATGTAGGTCTTTGTTTCTTGCTGGTATGACCTTATGGTAGCAGTGTTTTTGTCTTAGTTTAGTAAAGTTTGGTTTTTGAATTATGGTAGTACTTTATATATCTTTCATAGCCCACTTCTTTTATATAGCTGAAATCCTTTTCTTAGTTTAATTTTTCCTATTAACAATGTAATGCTGCCTTATACGTGTGGAAATTTTTGTATTTCATTTGATCCACAAAACAATGCTATGAGTAGGGTTTTTGCATATGATATTTTTTAGTTTTTCAAATGAGAATGCGTCATATTGGAAAATTATTTTATTTTTAAATATTTTGTTCCTTACTCTTTAAGTTACTCAGTGAAAACAGTGGGTCTACTGAAATAAATGGCCTAAATCCACTAGCAAGATGAGTAAAAATTGTGTGTTATTTTGTTCTTTTTTCCTATTCCTTTGCATTGTCTGATTATTAAGAATCATTATGTGCTGGACATGTCACAAGCTTTAAAACCTAGCCCTTGAAGGCAAAGGCAGATGGATCTTTGAGTTCAAGGTGAATCTGGTTGACATAGTGAGTTCCAGGCTAACTGGAACCACGTAGTGATACCCTGTCTCAAAAAAAGAAAGAAAAGAAGAAAGATCACTACATAATACTTTGTTGCTTTATTTCCAGATGTTAACTCTGACAGTAACACATTGTTTTTCAGTTCTTTATGTAATGTCTGTTGTGTGGGATGGGGAGGAATAAGGAAATAAAAGAATTTCAACAAAGGAGTTACAGAGATGTAGCTACCTAAAGCTGCCAGAAAAATGTGCTCTCAGTTTTTGTTGCCAAGAAATATCAAAGTACAATTTATTCACAAGCCTAGTGCATTGAGTGAATGAACACATGTGCTGACATTAGCTGCAAATTTTAAAATTTGAAAGTTCATGTCCTGTTACAAATTGGCCTTGGCTATTTGCCATATAGAAAAAAGGTAAATTCACATGTATACATTTTTTTGTATTTGCATATGTTTGCTTTTGTTAAGGAGTTAGCTTATTTTCTTCCTCCAGGGTTGAGAATGCTTGCACCAAGCTTGTTCAGGCAGCTCAGATGCTTCAGGCTGACCCATACTCAGTTCCTGCGCGGGATTACCTCATTGATGGGTCTAGGGGAATCCTCTCTGGCACGTCAGACCTACTTCTCACCTTTGATGAGGCCGAGGTAGGTAATCTGAGTCCCACAGAGACCTCTCTTAGACAAAAGCTTAGTTTTGGATTTATTTTATTTTATGTGTGTGTGTATTATGTGTTTATGGGTGTCCATGGAAATCAGAAGAGTATATCATACCCCTAGGCTTAGAGTTATAGGAAGTTGTAAGCCACCTGACATGGGTGCCAAGAACCAAACTGGGGTCCTGTAGGAAAGCATCACATGTTCTTGACCACTGAGTCATCTCTCCAGCTCCTAGAGCCAATTATAAAGATAATAATGGAAGTGGGACAATGCTCCAGAGGCGGAGGCAGGCGAATCTCTGTGAGTTCAAGGCCAATCTGGTTTATAAAGCAAGTTTCAGGGTAGCCAGGGCTACACAAAGAAATCCTGTCTTGGAAAAAAAAAAGATAGTAATGGAATCCCAGGATAATTTTTTAGAATGCTAAAATACTGAAAAGCTACGTATGTCTAATGCCATTTTCTATGTACTGATCACTAATTTGACTGAGTCCTTAAATATATTTTCAGGTTCGTAAAATCATTAGAGTTTGCAAAGGAATTTTGGAGTATCTTACGGTGGCAGAGGTAGTGGAGACTATGGAAGATTTAGTCACTTACACAAAGAATCTTGGACCAGGTGAGTCAAAACCATTTTTTTTTCTATTAAAATCTTTATGAATTGATTGTTTTGATTCAAGAGGAAAGGCTGCTTTTCTCTTACAGAAAATAGGAGATGCTGCGTTGGGCTTCTCTGTGCACAGAGCCAGAGCTCACAGTGGCTTTCTACTGAGGATTTGTTGCTGTCCTTCAGGTCTCTTACCTACTTTCTACAAGTCCCAGCCCTGTCGGAAGCATTCAGCCAGATTTTCGATGCTGATGGGGAAATGTCGGAAATGCTTTTCTGTTACTGTAACGCCAAAGGCCATCTTCAGTCCTGGCCACCCCATTCTCCAGCATTCCTTTGCTGTCTGCCAGCTGGCCTGCAGTTCTTCATGACTTCTTAGCTTGCTAATTAGCTGCCTGCTATTATGGACTTATGCCTTAGCCCAAGGCTGTAAAAGTGTAATCAGACCTCTGAGGAGGGAAGAGCTGTTGTGGTTGAATCTCATTTGAAATGATTATTTAGCCATCTGAACATTGAATATTCAAAATATCCAGATGCCAGCATTTGATCTTATAGCTATAACATGACCCCAAGAGTCCATAAATTACGAATAAGATTAATGGAAAGGCATATTAGGCATTTAGCTTGATGTTTATTGCTCTGTGAATTATTTTTTAATTGAAATATTGATGTTTGTTTAGCTGTATCTTTCCAAAGGTTCGATGTAGTGGGTTTTTGAACTTACCACATTTTCTGAGTTGTTTCTGAAGATCACCTGGAAGTGAATTCTTTTTTTTTTTTAAATGGCTGTAGAGGTTTGCTGGGGAGTGGCTGAGGTGTACTTGGGAGTTTTAGAGATTAACCTAGGCTTAGTGAATGCTAGGCAAGTCTCTACCTCTAGGTTACACCTCAGCTGAGACCTGTATTGTCATTCTCATAACACTGGAAAAAAGGTATGTTTTTCTCATAACTTTCTGCAGACCCTAACAAAAATGAAGGTACTATGTGTGAAGCAGAAGCAACCTACCTTTCTGCCTCTCCTTGGTCTTCATGGTCTGTGAAACTGATTATGAAATTCTAGGGGTGATTTGAAAATCAGACCTTAAAGCAAAAATCATTTCACTAGCCAGTAGGATGGCTCAGCTGATAAAATCACATGGAGCTGAGTCTTCTGACCGTGTTCCATCCCCAGGAGCCACGTGGTAGAAACAGAGGACTGACCCCTGCAAATTGTCTCCTACCACTACACATGTACTGACTGGACACGTGTGTGTCCTCACATTCACATACCTATAAAAAATTGAATGTAATTTAAAAATCACATAGCACTTTTGAATAATAACCAAAGTAAACAAAGTGTTAACAGATTGATTCCAATGCACCAGATGCTTAAAAAGCTGCCACAGCTGTACTTTTTAAAATTTCTGTTTTGTTTAAAATTTTTGCTTACGAGTTAGTATATGTTTATTTTGGATCAACTTGAATATTTCAAAAATTACTACCGAGGTAAGAATAAAACACAAGGCTTAGCAGGTACAGTGCGTGCTGCCAAGCCTGATCACCTGAGTGGGTTCTCAGAACCCACGTGGTAGGAGAGAAGCAACTCCTGCAAGTTAACCTTTTACCTCTATCCATAGGTGCACCATGGGACACATATATTCTTCCAAGATATAGAATGAAAATGAACAGAAACCAAAACATACCCATATCCAATCAAATTCACTGTTAGAATTCTTTCTGAGATTCCTGCATAGCACAGCACAGTAGCCAGATATACAATATGAAACCTGTATGCATACATATAGGATTTTTCTTTAATAAATTGCCTTCACTGAAAAGTATAACCTTGCATAAAATGCTAGTATTGTTACAATGTCTGTCTTTAAATAGATAGATAGTAAGTTTGGCGTATTGAAGTAAGTCACAATAGATTTGGGCTGAAAAGCCCAGATTCTGGTTCATTTCACCACTCATCCTATATAATTTCTTCTCTGTGTTCCAGGGATGACTAAGATGGCGAAAATGATTGATGAGAGACAGCAGGAACTGACTCACCAGGAACACCGAGTGATGCTGGTGAATTCGATGAACACCGTCAAAGAGCTGCTTCCTGTTCTCATCTCAGGTACTCGTGGTGACAGGGTGAGGGGGCTGGGTGCTCTAATGGAGATGGCCGGCGCCCTTCGCTGCTTTGGTGCACACCCTTATACAGGGTAAAGACGAGATCTGAATGAATGCTAATGTAACATGTGGGCAGCAGACAAAGGCTAAGAACCCTAGAGTCATCATTTTGAATGTTCTTTTGCTTTCTTCTTTCTTAACTGCCACAAGGAAATTGCACTTACTAAGTGTCAGTATGTGCCAGTACCTCATTGTTTATGTTTGTGTCAGAGCCAGGTTGTGGGATCCCTCACTAATTCTCAGAAGACAGCTGTATTTACATTTCTATGAAGTATGTCATTGCCACCCTCTAGTAGCTCAGTCTCAGGGGCTCCAATGCCCTCTTCCAGTCCCTGTGGGCATCTGTACACACGTGGCATACAGTCACATATAGATACATATAAATAAAAAATTGTCTAATTAAAAATTAATTTTTTTAATTAAACATTTTTGTGGGTGTTTTTTTGTTGTTGTTGTTGGATACAGGGCTTCTCTTTTGTGTAGCCCTAGATATCTTGTAACTCACTATGTAGACCAGGCTAGCCTTGAATTCACAGATATCTGCTTGTCTCTGCCTCCTGAATGCTGATATTCAGGATGGGTGCCTCCATGCCCTGGTTAAAAAAAAAAAAAAAGTCTTAAAGACAAGAAAGAAAGAAGGAGAGAAAGAAAAATGGAAAGAAAGGAAGAAAAGAAGGAAGAAAGAGAAGTCACTGATGCACACATTGAGAGAACTGAAAGATACTGACTTCTTTGGGGCCTACCATGGTTTGGGGGCAGTAGGCTACTCACAGTTTTGTTGGTGTTTTTTTATTCTGTCCCAGGAGATTTTGCAGTGACTAGAGGCTATGGTGGTGTCAGGATATTAATGATTTAAAAAGGTATTAAATACTTTTTGATTGTAGATCATTAGTGTGTGTGTTAAATTATTTCCCTAATGACATGGCGATGCTTTCTTTACACCCTGAATTTACTTTACAGTTAAAGTCTCTGACACTGGAACTACTTGATCAGTAGGTTTGTAGTCTTTGTTTATATATTCTGTTTTAGACATTAGAAGACCAAAATACATATCTGAAGCATGAAACATTATCTGTGAATATTACTAAGTAATAAGATTAAATCTCAGGCTGATGAGATGCCTTGGACTCACAGATGGAAGAAGAAAACTGACCTCTACTTTCTACCTGTCACCTCCACATCATTTTTGTTTTTTGAGATAGGGTTTCTTTGTATCCATCATTTTTTATTCTGATCTTTTGTTCATTTTTATAGCTATGAAGATTTTTGTTACAACCAAAAACTCAAAAAACCAAGGAATAGAAGAAGCTTTGAAAAATCGAAATTTCACTGTAGAAAAGATGAGTGCTGAAATTAATGAGATCATTCGTGTGTTACAACTCACTTCTTGGGATGAAGATGCCTGGGCCAGCAAGGTAAGTCTACTGGAGAAGAGATAATAAGAAAACTTCAAATTATGCACTCCTGGGAGATTTTGATTGCCATCTCTCTTAGGTTTTATATTGTAACTGTGTATACCTAAGAATACACAGGTATTATGGAAGCAGTTGTTCATTTGTTTTATGGGCTACTTGTCACCTTTATACATTTCCTGTGCTCCAAGGTGGACTGTATGGGTATATAGGACGACTTGGTAAAAGGCTCATTTCTCATTGGTTGGGCTGGTAGAGGACTTGGGGTATCATACTTCCCTGGGTGGGATCATTGCTTTTTATATGGGTGGTTGTTGCCAGGTGACTTAAGAAAGACAGAGAATATGCCTATAATTATGTATGTTATGGAAGACTTGTTCTTAGCCAACCTTTGATTAAGAGGAATGTACAGAGGAAGCTCTCAGACTTTTTAGATGTGTTGCTTTGTCATTCTGTTAATGAAAGTATTGGTCTACATATTGCCGGCTAGTTTACAGATCCCTTTGCTTTCGGTAGAAACTTCCCTCGACTCCAAAGGGAGCCCATTAACGCGGATTCCTTTTAGAGTCTGTTGGTAGCTGTCTGGAGTTACTGCCACTCTAGTCTACTTATTCCTTATGCAATGGCGAAGCTTCTGGGTCTGGGGAAGCCAATACATTTTGGTTTAGACTTGCCCTAGAGAATCCCAGGATGGAGGTGTGTATGTGGGGGTGTCCCCATCTCCAGGGTCTAACTTTCCCATGTATGACCCAAATTCTGTCACCAAGGTTGTTAACAGACTAAGTGACTTTATGATTTGACTTCTGTTGGGTATTCATTAGAGTGTTTTTCCTCCAGGACCACATATAAGGTAAGATCACATTTGGGGCCAAACATCACCAGTCTTCCCTCCTGCTGCTCAGAAAGCTAATTTAGCTATGCATAATCAATTAGTTTACTTTTAGCTGTAACTTCATTTACAGAGGTATTTCCTCATTGGTAGTGTGTTCTTTAACTGGTTCTAAAATTGTATTTTAAGTTTTTAATGATAAAATCATCTTAAGCCTCTGATATTTGATTTAATTTTGCTTTTTCTTGATAACTTTCACTTCCCAATGACTTCTTTGTGCATCTTTTTTTGTTGTTGTTGTTGTTCTCTTGTTTGTTTTATTCTTTTTCTCGAGCTTAGAAGGTAAGCTTTCTCTTACCCTTTAGTTTTTTTTTCTTCCCTTAAAAAGAGAAAACGCATGTCTGTGAGTTTTTCTTGTGCTGTTTGCCGTGTCTTATTCTGTGTGCTGGTGTGTAGCGCTGTGCTCGGATATGTCAGGATATGATTTAATGTGTAATTCTGGCCTGTGCTGGGCAGACTGACTTTGGCTCTTTATGGAATTGGTATTTTTGAGTGGGAGGCACAAAACAGAAAAGATTGCTATGGGGTATCAGGCTTTCTGTATTTGTAAGGTGCTTTTGTCTTTTTGAGCAGAACCCTTAAGAACATTTTTTGCCAATTTGTCCCTACTTACCTCATTTGAAGGGCACATTACCAACTGAGCTCTTGTGAAGAAAGACTGGAGGTGATGCTTTCTAGGTGCTTCACCTAACCATTCCTGGCCTTGACATTTTGCTTTTGGAGTTGCATTGTGGAGGTTTTACCTGTAGTTAAAGTGAGTACGCTAAAGAGAGCTGTTCTGTTTACACTACCAAAGTCAAAGAGGACAAGAAGTAAAGAATAGTGATTTTTAATTTTTTTAATTGTTTATTTAAATTCATTTTATGTGCATTGGTGTGAAGGTGTCATGTGTCCTGGAACTGGAGTTACAAACAGTTGTGAGCTGCCATGTGGGTGTTGGGAATTGAATCTGGGTCCTCTGGAAGAGCAGCCAGTGCTCTTAACCACTGAGCCATCTCTCTAGCCTCCATCTGAAACGTTTTTAATATTTTTTTGCCTTGAGTTGGTGACTTTCTGCATGTTCTGTTGCCTAGGCTATGAATCAACTATAATTCAATGACTTTATGTTTCCCTAACTGAATAAACTCTTCCCTTTGCTTCTAGAAGATGAGAAACCAATAAGGAAGAACAGACATTTAATCATAATATTTCTCTAGTTTGAGGGAAAAATAATCTACCATTTAGTGAATACATGTTATTGAGTTTATTTTGTGCAACTGCCATCAAGAAATGCTTATTAAAAAACAAGCGAGCAGGCTGGGCGGTGGTGGCGCACGCCTTTAATCCCAGCACTCGGGAGGCAGTGACAGGTGGATCTCTGTAAGTTTTAGGCCAGCCTGGTCTACAGAGCAAGTTCCAGGGCAGGATCCAAAGCTATAGATAAACCCTGTCTTGATACCGTCCCCCTCCCCCCCAAAGGAAGACCCAAATGAGTTTAGTGGGTTTTCAGCACTAGGATTATGGACTTAGGCAGGGTGGGCAAGGGCAATAGACCTGGTCCTTACCTTATCTTGTAGCTGTCCCGCATTCATGTTGCTCGGAGAAAGCTGGCTAATTAGGATGATGCAACACTAACTGCATCAAGGGTGAGAATAAATGGAGTTTCTTCAGCCAAACGAAGCTTAAAAGTCCACGACATTAGAATGAACAGGAAGAACTTCCTTGTCTGCCCACTTTTGTCATACACTTACTTGATTCAGAAATCACAAAAGGATAGAAAGATGCACATGACAAGTCGCTGTCAGCCTTCCTGCTTTGCCTGGATGTGATCCTGTGTGCAACTCTTCAGCAGTTATTAGAATATTTAGATAAAGGAATTTATTTCACCCTGAAAATGGACAGTGGTAATTAGGATATTCACTTTTTTTTTTTTTAAATAAGATTTAGAATCTTTCTTTCCTGAACTGTAAGCAGAGCATCACCAGGTCTGAGGTCTGTCTGTTGCAACCAGGTTCCCATTCTGTTAAATGCATAGTGTCTTTCACCACCTCTCATCCTTCCCCAGAAGGAATTAACTTTGTCTTCCCGTACTTGTTTCATGCTTCCCCACTGGTGCAGTGTTCTTCTGGAAAGTGAAGGTTCCTCTAGGAAAGTGGGGGAAGAAAGTAAGTGGAACAAATTCTTGGTAAAAATACATCTTCTGAATAAGTTCAGAGTTTGACGAGGCAATGCACAGATGAATAGCATACCTGTTATACCTAATTCAACTTGCAAATTCACACATTTAAGAGTAACTTTAAACACCTCATTTCTATTGAAAGTAAAAATTACCCCTTGACTCAACAGTCATCCTAACAATGATAATTAAAGTGAAACCAGAATTTTTTTCCTGGAACAACATTATGACTCAAAGGAACTTGAGTTAAACACAATTCTTATTCTACTCTGCAAATTTAGAATTCTATACTTAATGTTTTAAAAATTATTTATATTACTTGTATCTTGATATATGTTGGGACTTGAGAGAAAAGTAAAAGCATTTCATTGCTAAGATTTTTTGAGCCTTACAGAGGTAGCATTTCACGTTGAGTCATTAGATGCTGTGATTCCCAGTTGGTTATGGTGGTAAGTGTCCTGCTGGGGTTCAGGCTGGTGATGGGCATCAATTAGGATGTCTTCCACATAAGATCACTCTACTTTTTACCACAGAAGGTAACACTGGTGAGATTGTGTTATCCTGTAACACCCTCACTTCAGACCCTTGGGATTTAAAGGTTGAATTTAATTTTGATTATTTAAAAAAGATCAGGTTACACATAAGCATAAAACATTTCTTTCTGAGTGTTCTCAAGTTTTGTTTTAGCTGTCATTAGAGTAAGAAATTTATCTTTAGGAACTTGACTAAATTGTTTAACTGAGGCATTTATGGTGTTTACTGCTCAAGGAGTAAATCCTCAAATGCTAAAGGAGTTGGTGTTTTCCTGTCGGATCTAGGATGTCTCTTTAGCTGGCCCATCTGTGAGTATGCTCACAGCAAGCATAGGTGCTTAGAGTTGTGAGGCTTTTTCACGGGGAGATACCCAGGCGAGAGAAGGTAGCTATTAAAGACTTAGGACAAGGCAACTCTCTCATAGGTTAGTCTGTTCTTTCCTGAGCTGTCTTTCCTCAGAACATTGGAATGGTGCTTATAGAAAAGTGAGCAGAAGAAAGTGGAATGGGGAAATGAGTGTTTGCAGAAGAAGAAAAAATAAAAAGGCCGGGCATTATTTTCCATGTTTAAAGTTATATATACACATACACACATACACACATACACATATATCTTCAAACTGGCTTCTAGTCATAATGCTAGGGAATCCATTCACATCATGTCTGCTACTAGTGCACGTATGTTACTCATGACAGGATTCTGTTGATTCCATCATAAATACTGCCTTTTAAAATACATCTGAGATTCTTTAGAGATAAAAAATATATAGGATTGTTAGCTGCTCTGCTCCAAAAAGAATTTAAGGAGGTTTTTAAAGTGATATAAACCTTTATGACTGTCTAAATCACTTTCTTTAAAAACCAGAGGGATAGAGAGATGACTCAGGGTAAAGGCACCTGTGACCTTGTCTGATGATCTAAGCTTGATCCCTGGAACCCACAGTGTCAGAGAATTGACTCCAGTAAACTGTCCTCTGACCTTTACACATATGCTCTGGTACACTTTCACCCACACACATACACACACAAAAAAATAAAACAACAACAACAACAAAACCAACCTAGAAACCAACTGAAATTCCCAGCTTTAAAAATGCAGCTTCAGGACTGGAGCGTTGGCTCAGAGGTAAGAGCGCTGACTGCCTTTCAGAGGACCCAGGTTCAATTCCCCAGCACCCACATGGCAGCTCACAGCTGTCTGTGGCTCCAGTGCCAGTGGATCTGATGCCCTCTTCTGGTCTTCACAGGGCACTAATCCTGCACATATTGCAGAATGACAAAAGATTGCAGCTTTATTCCACGCTTACCATCGGTTCAGGGCAGGGGAAGTGAGCATCTGCTGATTTTAATTTCCTGGTGTTGTTAGATCTACTCAGAAGGAAATTGCTCTCTTCCTGGGAATTATATTCCGTCTTCGTAGCGAAGGGGCCATGTGAGCTGATTTGAGAAAAAGGAGCGATCTTCGCAGATGCTGCATAGAGCAAGCTCGTTTCCCATTGTACTTCAAACCACTTTGGGATATTGGGGGATGAAAGCAGTCATTGATGTTAGTGCACATTGTGAGCTTGATTCTGGAGCTTCTCCTGTGAGAAGTAGTGACTGGAGCTCATATTGACAAGGTGGAGATCTGCTGACTGCTGCAGGTTTACGGCATATTTGGCAACTCTTTAGGAAAAACAAAAAGCAAAACAACAATAACAAAAAAAACCCAAACAAAACCAAACCAAGATCTTTTTTGTTTGTTTGTTTGTTTGTTTGAAACAGGGTTTCTCTGTAGCTTTGGAGCCTGTCTTGGAACTAGCTCTGTAGACCAGGCTGGACTCAAATTCATAGCGATCTGCCTGTCTCTGCCTCCCGAGGGCTGGGATTAAAGGCGTGCGCCACTGCTGTCCAGCTTTTTATTTGTTTGTTTATTTAGTGGCCAAACTGAGTTCTGTGTAATATAAAATAAGAGATTGGAGTCAGCAGACTTGAGATCAAATTCTAAGAGTGATTCCTTTTTTTTAATTTGTAAAACAAAATTACTTTTAAACCTGAGACTCAATGAAGTAATTGAAGGAAAAAAATGGCTAAAACAATCTATCATGCAGGAAATCAAAATTACCTTCCTAACCAGTAGCCTTTACTGCTAGATTAGTGCTAAAATTTGTCTGACATTTGAAAATATGTCATTTTCTTTAGAATTTAGATTTTGAAATGTAGATAAATGTGTGTTGGTTTTCTCACCAAAATAAAAGTATAACTGTGAGGTGGTGGTGACACATATCTTTTGATCCCAACACTCAAGAGGCAGAGGCAGATGGAGTTCTGAGTTCGAGGCCAGCCTGGTCTACTGAGCAAGTTCTAGGACAGCCAGGGCTACACAAAGAAACCCTGTCTTGAAAAACAAAAACAAATAGAAAGTGTTACAGAAATGTTTATTATCAGTCTTTTAAATTTCACATTGACACAGTCCTCTTTTCCAAGATATACACATATTTCCTGAAAGAAAGTTTATGTTAGTATAAACATATCTACACCTAGACAGTTTATTAAATCTTATAACTTATGTTAAATGCTAAAAATTTTCCAATTAGTTTCTTGAGGTTAGAAATTACCAAAGAATCTTAAGAAGATAGCCATTTGGGCCTTTCTTATTTGAAGTTCAGCTCTGTGTTCTTCTGGAGGCAAGGTTTGCTGTAAAAATTAACGTACAACAAAGGGGAGAAAAGAAACAGATTTAAACATCATTAGCAACTCACCTAAAGATACTACTCTCCTATTTTACTAGTTATAAATGGACTTTGGACCAGATCGTCATGATGCTGCCTTGTATTGGTAGCTATCATAGTTCCGTGTAACTTGATAACTTTTTACACCCTGTACCCATCCCCATAGCTTAGTTCACCTGTTTGTTGCTGTGGCTAAGAAGACAGTTAGAATGAGAGAGCTTTTCCTCTCTTTCTAGATGGGAGAGAAAGGACTTCTGAAGTGGAGGGTCTGTCTTCTGAGTAGGTACTTTGGAAATGCTATAGTTCACCTGCGAGTAGTGCCTGTTCTTTGTGTTAGCGGTGGCTCTTTGAACTGGAAATCGGTATGTGCTTGGTGCCTCCTTGTGGAAGCTTGATGGTATGACACTGTAGGATTGGAAACTGAAGAAGGCTGGGGATGGGGCATTGCCTAGAATTTTAGAGGTTAACATGCTTTGATAGGTTGACTCTCCGAGAGTCAATCCTCTGGTGCAAAAAGGAGAGAGACTTTTTTAAGATGCTAAATGCAAACTTAAGAGATGGACAGCCTAGTGCCAGTTGTAGTAGCACACACCTTTAATCCCAGAATTTGTGAGGCAGTCACAGAGGCAGGCAAATCATTGCGATGCCAGTCTGGTATATACATCATGAGCTCCAGGGAAGCTATGCACAGTTATACCTGAGAGACAGACAGAGGGACAGTGTATCACACTGCCAATTCTAAAGATTGGCACATAGATATTTGTTATAGTGTTTTTTGCATTGTTATGCATTAAAAATTGATTAAGCTGGGAGTGATGGCATATACTTTTAATTAGGAAATTTCTGTGAGTTCAAGGCCAGTCTGGCCGACATGGCAAGTTCTGGACAGCCAGAGCTATACAATGAACCCCCCCCCCCACTCTCTTGATTTGTATGTACCTATATATATTCTGGGAGAGTCTATGTTTGCTTTATGCTTATCATCATGAGTCCTGCTTATGAGTAATACATTGAGGTCCATGTATTAGGGATGGCAAGTGATCGAAGGATGGGAAGGGAGCGACCAGCAGTGTGCTTTCTTCATGGAGGACTTTTAGTGATTTATTCCGAGAACCAAATCAAGTGGTTACATTAACACCTTCTATTTATTTTTTTCAACAAGTAATTCTAAATTTTTAAAAATTAACTATATATAATAAAACACTATCCTGTGTGTGTGTGTGTGTTTATGTGCGCGCGCGTGCGTGTGTGCGCCCACACGTGCATTTCAAAACAAGAAGTAAAAGAACTGTGCTTTGTGGCACCACATACTACTGGGCTGCCTAAAGCAGGGAGGACTCTGGCAAGGCTTCAGCTGATGGCTGTTGGCTACTGAAAGGCTGGTAATGAAGCATGAGGCCCCCGGGGCTTTGTTCTGCAGAAGACATTAGACATTTTTTGACTTTAGCAGTTTTTTTTTTTTTTAAAGTTTTTGCAGTTTTAGCAGTGGAGACACAGGAGGTAGGATAGAATTAACTGGAGATTTGCATGCAAGAAACACAGGAATTGTGGTGTTTTGAGATTATTTTGAGGCTGTTACAGGACTGCCTTAGCTGTTGTGTGTTAGTGCTGTAACTCCCTCTCTGTAAAAACTGAGAGACCAAGATATAAAACAGACAAAATAACTGGGGTTTCTCTTCCAAAGGACACTGAAGCTATGAAGAGAGCGCTGGCGTCCATAGATTCCAAACTGAATCAAGCCAAAGGTTGGCTCCGTGACCCCAGTGCCTCCCCAGGTAACCTGCAGTTCTTTTCTGAACAATAAACTACTAAAATACAAGTAAATGAAGGAGAGGAATGAACCGTTCTATAATCTCAGCATCCTGAGGTAGTTGTAACATCCCACCAGAATTCCCAGTAACTGAAACTGTTGACAGAAGTTTCTGTCCCGCCTGCAGCCGTTCAGTCCCAGACAAACATGCAGAGTTCTCTATTAATTATAAACTGGTTGCCCTATTAGCTCAGGCTTCTTATTAACTTTTATAACTTATATTAGCCCATAATTCTTGTCTGTGTTAGCCACGTGGCTTGGTACCTTTTTCAGCGAGGCATTCTTATCTTGCTTCCTCTGCATCTGGGTAATGGCTACAGACTGCATCTTTCCTCTTACCAGAATTCTCCTGTTCTCATTGCCCCGCCTCTACTTCATGCCTAACTACTGACCAATCAGCATTTTCTTAAACAAGTGCAAGAAACAAATCTTTACAGGGTAAAACCATTGTCCCATAGCATGAAACATTCCTAGGTCTTAAGGGATGAGTTAACAGGCTTTATCGCCTCTTGTCATGAAACAATAAACAAAGCTAAGTTGCTATTCCTTTTTTTTTATCATTTATTTATTTATTTATTAAACATTTCCACCTCCTCCCCTCTTCCCAGTACCCTCCCACTTCCTCCACTCCCTCTTTCCCTCCCTCTCCAATCCTAAGAGCAGTCAGGTTCATTGAAAGATTGTTGATTCACCCATCCCCTCAATCAAAAGTGAATTGTCAATAAAAGCTCTTTTTTGCTATTCAGGTTGTGCAGACACCATTTATGTTAGCAAAGTAATTAGTTAAGCAGATTGTATAGTGATGCCTATAGGAATGGTAGAATGAAGTTGACTATATAAAGACAAGACCCAAGTAGGTTATTGAGCTTGGCTTTTCTAATTTAATCTTTATTCAACTTTAGATTGTTTGAACAAATGGGAAAAACCTAATGGAGGTACCAAGCACAGTGAAATGACTAGATTCTTTTCTCATTATCCACATTCTTATGTCAAGTCACTTCATATCTCTCAGCAGATATCGTGCCCAATACCTTTCTCAGCAGGGCCTGTGGTTAAAACCTCACATCATGGTTGGGAGGCACTGCGTGACTTTTAGCTGTCAGAGGGAAGGTTTTCTATTGCTTGTCTGTTTAAGTCATCCATTCCTTCATGAATGAAATGACTTGTAAAGTAACCTCTCTGAATAATTGATGTGCCTACAATGTAGATATTGAATATCTTACTATTCTAGGGGACGCTGGTGAGCAGGCCATCAGGCAGATCTTAGATGAAGCTGGAAAAGTTGGTGAACTTTGTGCAGGCAAGGAACGCAGGGAGATCCTAGGAACCTGCAAAATGCTAGGACAGATGACTGACCAAGTGGCTGACCTCCGAGCCAGGTAAGGTTTCTCTGCTTTGTTCAAACGAGTAGTGAACAACTCACTCCTAATGAGGTCATTCAGGATACAAGTCCATGCCAGTTTTACTGAAAATAGAACTGTAAAATAGGTAAAGACTAATAAAGTTAGAACTTATTTTGTAATTGATTTTTTAAAAAAAGTTTTTAGCAAGAGTTTTTATGAAGTATAAGGGGCAGAGTTGAAATCTGACCAAGTTAGTTATCTTTTGTAAAAGATCGATGGTAGAAAGAAATATCAAAGAGTAACAACAGGACTGGCGGTACATCTCACTTGGTAGAATGCTTGCTTTGTATGCGCAAGCCCATCAACCAGGCGAGAAATGAAAACCTTGAATCCTAGAACTCAGGAGGTAGTGGCAAGAGGACCACTGTCATCCTCACTGCCTATTGAATTGAAGGCCACGCTGAGCCACATGAGATAATGTATTTTCATTTTGTGTTAAAATTTATTTTAACCCTAAAAGAGACACACATGGATCTAATCTACATGGAAAGTAGAAAAAGACAAGTTCTCCTGAGTAAATTGGTAGCATGGGGACCATGGGAGAGAGTTGAAGGGGAGAGGGGAGGGAAGGAGGGGAGCAGATAAAAATATATAGCTCAATAAAAAATATAAATTAAATATAAAAAGTTTAAAAATTGTTAATATTTTATTATTTTTGTATATATACCTATATTCTCTGAGCCATCTCACAGACTCTTGTAATTTGTTTTTTAACCTTCCTTTTACTCTTCACAAGTCTTTGATTTTAGAATACCTCTACCCCAAAATAAGTACACTTAGTTTGCTATTGAAAAAAACTCAGGAGAATGTAGATTTAAAAAAAATTATATATGCAGTTGATGAATACATTTTAGACATTGAGAGGATTAAATTGTGTTTAAATCTAGTGTAGATGAAGTTTAATTTTGCTTTGAGAATGTCCTGAAACTTCTTGTTCATTAGGGTACACGGCATATCGTAGACAGCAGCACGGAGACAAACCTCCACATGCTCCTTACCATTCTACTTGGTCCAAAGTACTCACATCCAACTGTAGGCTGTAAAAGCACTTCTTTTGGATCAATACAAAAGTTTTATTCTTATGAAACTGTTCCTTTCCACCTAAAACAATGCAGGTACCTGTACATAATAGGCATTCTTTTTGTGGCATTATAGATATAGAAGCCCCTGGACCTTCAGAGGTGCATTTGGAGGGGGAGGGAACAGCTTAGATGTGGTCTCATGGCTCTCACTGAACCTGTTTCCTGTTGAGAAGCAGCCTTCTTTGTCAGAAGCATGGCAAGAACTTTGCAGAAAGGAGAAAAGAAGTTTTGTTCCCCTTTGGAAAAATGCCAGTGCAGTTTGTCAAGATTCTTGGCTCTTCTAATTTTTCATTGCTGGCTCTTTGGTCTGCATCCCTTTCACAGTGTGGCAGGCAATTTTCATTCGGAATTCTCAAAAACATAGTTGTGAATATCAGAAAAGAATGAGATGATTGTATGGGAGAGTCTACTAATCTGTCAAGAGAAAAGGCTAGACCAGAGATCAGTAACTATGGCCCTGCTTCATACTGAAGCCTGTGTTATCCTCTCATATTCAAAGACTAGAAAACCACCTTTTTACAGTTAAATCCATATATCAGAAGTAATCCTCATAACTAATTACTATATTTGAATGAAATAAAAGAAACCATGGGCAGTATTCCTCAGTCTTTCATTTTCTTGTCAGATGTGGGAAGGCCCCAGTATGAGAAAAGGCTTCACGTAAGCTCCTGGCACTACATTTCAGGGGCTCATTACCTACAGTGTTAGTGTAGAAGAACTTTTAAAAAGAGGACAAAGGGGTTGAGCAGATCGTTCAGTCAGTAAAGTATTTGCCTAGCAAGTGTGAAGCTTCTTAGAAGCTGTGTAAAAAGTCAGACCTCATAGCACTCTGACTGTAATTCCACTACCAATGAGGTAGAGAAAGGCACATTCCTGGGGCTCACTGTCCAAGCAGCCTAGCTTAATCAGCAAATTCTAGACCAGCGAGAGACCCTGTGTCATAAACAAAGCAGATAACAGCTGACAACACCACACACTGGCATGCACACCTGGACACACATGCACGTGTGCACACACACACAGAAAAAGATCAATATGGGCTGCAGAGATGGCTCCATGGGTAAGAGCACTGGCTGCCCTTTCAGAGGACCCGGGTTCAGTTCCCAGCACCACACCGTATAACTATCTGTAGCTCTAGTTCCAGAGGATTCAGTGCCCTTTTCTGACCTCTGCAGGCACTGCACACATGGTGCACAGATACATGCAGACAAAACACCCATATACACCAAGTAAGAATAAATGCCATCTCAAAAAAGAATTTTTGTTTTGTTTTGGTTTTTGTTTTTCGAGACAGGGTTTCTCTGTGTAGCTTTGGATCCTGTTCTGGAACTAGCTCTTATAGACCAGGCTGAAAAGAATTTTTTTTTGGGCGGGGGGGAAGATGGGTAATAGATTCATTTTACTGTTAAGGAGACAAGGATGTTTTGGAGTTTTTCCTAAAGTTAGAAGCTCAGATTGGGATGAATCATGTTTTTCCTTACAATGATAAAATTGTCACACAGATGGTTGGCTTTATTAGCCTAAATGGATTAAAATATTCCGAGTTTGTAAAAAGATGGCAAGTCTTGCTTTTTGGCCTAGAAACTCTGTTAAGGGACTGGTCTCTACCCAGTCCCATCGTGCTTTTGCGGTAGTAGAACACCATTCTGAGAAAAGGAAATATACCCGTTCTCTAAGGACTTCAGGAAACTGCTGTTTTGTTCCTCAGTACTGACTCCTTACTTAGTAATGGAAGGTACACATTGATATTCTTACTGGGGGCTGGAGAGATGGCTCACAGTTAAGAGTATTCACTACTCTTCCAGAGGACCCAGGTTTAATTCCCAGCACCCACGTGGCAGCTCACAGCTGTCTGTAACTCCAGTTTCCAGGGGATCTGACACCCTCACATAGACATATGTGCAGTCAAAACACCAAAGCACATAAAAAAGAAAGAAAATGAAGAGAAAGAGCGAAGTCAGGAGATGTCACAGTGTACATTCCTTGCTTGCTGTGTTTTAGAAATCCACACTCAGACCTGCTCTAAAGTCTGTCCACCTGATGCCCTCAAAAATGAAAGCTATCAGCTAGGTGTGCGGTGCACGCCTTTAATCCCATCACTCAGGAGTCAGAGGCAGGTCAATCTCTGTGAGTTCGAGTCCAGCCTGGTCTACAGAGAATTTCAGGACAGACACAGCTACACAGACAAACCCTGTCTTGAACCACTCCCTCCCCACAAAAAAGATTGTTAGGTTCATTGTATTAATTAGTGATGATAACTTATTTACATTAGTAGTTTATAAACGTGTGTTCTCAAAGTGTTTTCAGGTATATTTTTTCTTCCCCATTTTTTTTTTCTTTTTCTTTCTGCAACACCCCCCTCTCCCTCCTCCCCGAGCTGCGAATTAAACTCAGGATCTCACAAATTCAGGCAAGCTGCCTACAACTCTGAGCCATACCTCAACCCTGATGTATATTACCTCTTTTTTTTCCCTTCTCAGTGCTGGGAATCAAACCCTTATACTGCCTACCACTGAACTAATTGTGCATTTCCTATCAAAGTATGTTATTTTGATAGGTGAAGTATTTTGTTAAATAAACAGGGCAAATACTGTATTGTTACTTACCTTCATTTTATGTAATTTTAATTTTATAAATAAAAAAGAAGCTTCCAGGTATGGTGACACACTCTCAGTACTTGGGAAGCACAGACAGGTGAATATTTGAGAATTTTAGGTCAGCCTGGTCCAAACAGGGAGTTCCAAATAGGCAGCACCTATCTCAAAAACAAACAACCCCCTCCCCCAAATTCTAAAGCCCAAGAATGTTAAACATTAGAACAAAAATCCCACAGGGGTCAAAAAGTCAGGATTTAGAGAAACAGATCTAATTGGTTTCACTGTGGTATATTCTCTCATGCTTAAATAATTTATTAAAATATACTTATTGAGTCGGGCGGTGGTGGCGCACGCCTTCAATCCCAGCACTTGGGAGGCAGATGGATCTCTGTGAGTTCAAGGCCAGCCTGGTCTACAAGAGCTAGTTCCAGGACAGGCTCCAAAGCTACAGAGAAACCATATATATATATATTTGAAATAATAATTGAACTTATTCTGAAATAATTTTAATGTATGATTCCCTATAAACAAGACAAATTAATGGGCTATTCATTTCTAAAGCACACACAATCTTATAGTAACAAATCCTTCTGTAACAGTAAGATCTCCTGCAAATTTTCCTGCTGCAATTTATGTTTGGTTATGTAGTCAAGAATAATTATCAAATTTTGCTAACCTGGCTTTCAAGTCATTAAATAGTTCCCTAAAACTAATGTGAGTTTTACATGGTATCACATGCTGATAATTCTAGCACTTGGGAAGAAGAACCTGGAAGATGAGGTGTTCGAAACTAGCTATAGTTACATAAGACCTGGTTTCAAACAACAAAACAGAATAAAAACATGTTTTTGAAAGCAAAGGAGAAAGTAGGTGGTTGGATGTTTTTCCTTTGTTCAGTTTTCGGGGGAAATCAAGAAAAACACACATGTTAATAAAAATGACATGTATTTGTTATTAAGTATCTGAGAGGATATAATGACCGTATCTGTCATTCTGAGTAGAGGACAAGGAGCCTCGCCAGTGGCCATGCAGAAGGCTCAGCAGGTGTCTCAGGGTCTCGACGTGCTCACTGCGAAAGTGGAAAATGCAGCTCGGAAGCTGGAAGCCATGACAAACTCAAAGCAGAGTATTGCCAAGAAGATTGATGCTGCCCAGGTGAGGACCATTCTCAGTAGGGACAGGCTGGAGAAGAGAAGAAGGGTTCTTAGTATCCCATATCTCTTCCTGCACTGCCCTTTGCCCTCATCTACTGTAGGTAGGTAGTGGATGCTCCTCAGTGAAGACTGATTCCCAGTAGTTTCCGGGGTAACACCTACACTGTCATAGGTGTAGACATGTTTGTCTACAGTTTGAATTAAAGATCTTAATTTTCACTACTTCAGCTAGTTAAAAGATCTCTGAATGACAGAATCCTAGATCTTGAAATCATTTCCTGTCTTAGAATTCTCTACTGTATTAGGTCAATTGTGTACAGATTTAGGGCTCTATTCTATGTAAAATACCTTTCAAGTGTTTTACAAACACAAATGCTTGAAAACTGGAAAAAAAAGATGATTCATTTAAAGATGGGAGAAGGCTTATGAAGATATTTTATTCTTTTTTATTTTGGTTTATCTTTTTTTCTTTCAGTTTGGTTGTCAAACACAGGGCCTTGTGCAAGTTACTTAAGCACTGTATAATTGAGCTAAAATTCCAGCCTGAGAATTATTTTATTTATTTTAAAAATAATTTATTTATTTTTATCTTATGTGCATTGGTGTTTTGCCTGCCTGTATGTCTTTGTGAGGGTGTCAGATTTGGAGTTATAGGCAGTTGCTAGCTACCAGGTGGGTGATGGAATTGAACCCATCCCATCTTCTTAACCAGCTCCTGAGAATTGTTTTAATGGAAATCAACATGGCTGGTAACATAGCTCAGTGGTAGGAGTGTTTGGCTAGGTTTGATCCCCAATATTTGGGGTGGTGGGGATATGACATGATGGTACACAGAAAAGATGAGTGATTTGATGTTACCTGAGCTAATAACATGTGTAAAACAATTAGAATTAGCACTCTAAAATGATTACCATTATGCCATGTGACTACTTGAGAGCTATATCTGATGGATTTGCAAGTTTTAATGTCGTTCACGAGTAGATGACATTGTCCACTTTGGTGTGTATGTAGAATTGGCTTGCAGATCCAAACGGTGGGCCTGAAGGAGAAGAACAGATTCGAGGGGCTTTGGCGGAAGCGCGGAAGATTGCAGAATTATGTGATGATCCTAAGGAGAGAGATGACATCCTACGCTCCCTTGGAGAGATAGCCGCTCTGACCTCTAAATTGGGAGATTTACGAAGACAGTACGTATTTAATTTCTTAGTTCAAAATGAGTATTTCTCCTCACCTCCCCTTCTCCCTTTCTTCTATTTTAGGAGCATGTTGAGTTGAATCCCCATAGGTTAAATGCACATCTAATCCCCCAAATGTAAATCCTTGGACTCTTATCTCAGACATGATGTATGGTAAATCCATGTGGGATCTCCATAGGTTAAATATGTTTGTGACATGGCTAGGTCAGATGTTGCCTCTGGTATCAGTGATGTAACTGAAGTTTATTTAATAATTTGTTAGTGATCCTAGTTTTAAATGAGAACATTTAGCCTGCTGAGAATTAATTTTCAAGCTCTACATTCATTGTTTCTAAAGTAGGACTTTGCTTGCTTTGTTTGTTACTGTCTGTCCTAGACACAGGGAAAATCATTGTTGTAGTTAGCTATGAAAAGACTCCTGCGTGTATATGTGATCAAGACAAAAAGCATACTTTCTCCCTTCACTAGCACTGTGATTTCTCGAGTAGCAATTATATAAAGGATTCTTCAATTACATTTCCTGGATGATTGTTCCTGTAATAACATCCTTGCTACAGCTTCCTTTCTTAAAGATTTTCATCATGCCTACTCTGATTATATGGAAAATTACTCCTTTGTTCTGACAAAGATAATGCTGTTGTAAAATAACAACTAAACAGCACCATGGACTGGGCAATATAGTTCAATTGGTTGAGTTCTTGTGCAGGCTCCTGGGCTTGATTGCAAGCTTTGTATAAAACAAGGCATGGTAAATGATGTCTATAATCACAGAAACTGGGAGATAGAGCCAGGAGGATCGGAAGTTCAAGGTCTCCTGTGGCTCCACCATGAATTTGAGGCAAGCCTGGGCTATCTGAGACCCTATCTGAAAAAAACAAGCCAAACTAAACCAAACTAAACCAAATCAGTCCCATGTCTGATTTGCTGTACCTAGGATGCCTAGGCAGTCCGAGTTGAGTGTCTTGTCCTCCCTCACTGGTCCATGTGTGTCTCCCAGAATAATTGCTTTGTCCAAGAGTATGTTCTCTGAGAGCTAGAGGAGGACTGATCTTGGTCAAGGATATAGTATAGTGACTGCACTCCTCAGCCGGCCTCTCAACGCGTTTCAGGAATGTTAAAGAAGGGAATGATGGCAAAGAAGAAATGACTGTCTTTTATGACGCAAACATGCAGCACCATTCTCTAAGAATAACCAAGGTCATATTCCATTTCTTCTATTTAACTTAAATGTTCTGTTTCTGTTCTTCTATGAGAAAATACCTATTTTTGTCTTCCAAAGTAAGGGATTTGTTATTATCTTCTGACAAAGAGGACATTGCTGACTAAGAAACCATAAAGGCAGAGACTATGAATTCCTGGTACCTAACACAATCCATTGCATAGATAGATACTCGTGAATATTTTTTAGATGACAAAGAGGTAACTGTTGGTAGCAGAGATAACAGTAGACCTTCATGCTGTCATCATAGTTAACACTGTAACATAAATAGACATGTATATAACCTGGCAACATAGTTAACACTGTAACATAAATAGACATGTATATAACCTGGCAACATAGTTAACACTGTAACATAAATAGACATGTATATAACCTGGCAACAGGACTAGTCGTTTGAAAATCGTGATAATCACCTCCTTTGTCTAGCTTTGGAAGATGGGAGGTTAGAGAAAATTAAAATAATAAAGAAGTTTTTAAAATTAGTCATTCTGACAGATGGGTTGATATTTTTGTTTTTATAGATGAAGCAGATGAAGGTACTTTTCTGTGATTGAGTAGTCTCAAAATACAAAATTGATCAGATTCTTTATATTTCCTTTTTCTTTCTTAAATTGTTACTTACTTTATGTTTTATGGCTGTGTTGTGTGCACGTATGTCTGTGTACCACATGCATGCCTGGTGCTTACAGAAGCCAGAAGAGGGTGTTGAATCTGGAACTGAAGCTGTTGCAGATGGTTGTGAGCCACCATGCAGGTGCTGGGAATTGAACCTGGATTCTCGGAAAGAGCAGCTAATCCTTGTAACTGCTGAGCCATTTTTTTTTTTTCAGTCCTGCCTTTTTGTTTTCTTAATGGTTAGAATCACATCTTTTGGGTCAGTTTCTATTCTTGAGACATAACATGATTGTTTTTTTAAATTTTTGTGTGGCTACATTTGTTGATGTTCTGCGGCTGCAAGGAACTGGATTGAGACTATATAGTGGCATCTAATGGAACTGCAGCTTGACTGTGGTCAAGTCTACTAGTAACTAGAAGGCCCCGTGTCCTCGTTCAGTATCTTTATTGCCAAGTGGGTTCTACATGTCTGTTTTTTACTCTTTTTTTCCATGTTACTTGGGCCTTCTACCTTTGGTTTGACAAACCACACCCCAGGCTTAACATGATTGTCTGTCTCCAGAGCCACTACTGGTTGATTTTGGCAATGTTTTGAAGTGTGGACCAATGATTACTTGAAAATTTTGTTTAAAATGTGTACCCTTACCCCATTCTAGATATAATTTATCAAAGTCTCTTTTGATGACCAATTTAACTATCAATACCTAAAAGTTGAATCCCATTTTACTTTTATTTGCACTGTACTTAGAGAAACACTAGGGTCTAATTGCATGTGATTTGTGACTGTAGGTGTGTTGTCTCTGAGTAGAAACACACTCAAACTGGTGTTGAGTAGAACCCCAGTTCAGTCAGCTACAGCAGAGAGAGTAGGAACTGTGTGACACTGGGGTGCATTAGTACAGGGACAGTTTCGCAGTGAGGGCTCTTCACCTCCCAGGGTTGCTGTGGGTACTGAATGATGTGAGGGAGAGCTTGTAGCGTACCTGGAGAAAGTTGGGCCCCAGCACGCACCATCACTAGCTGTGTTATTACTAGTTCTGCTTCCACTGCCAGCAAGGCTGTCTGGGCACACCTAGTTCCACAGGGAGTTTGTGGTGTTTTGCCGTTGTTTGTTTTTGTTTTTGAAGCAGGGTTTGTCTGTGTAGTCTTGGCTGTCCTGGAACTCTGTAAACCAAAGTGGCCTTGAACTCTAAGTTCTGTCTGCCTCTGCCTCCCTAGAGCTGGGATTAAAGGCGCCAACTACCCGGTTGGATCTTGTGTTTTTATGTGTGGCAGGATGAGAGTGCATGCCATCTTGTGGTGAGTGGTTAGGCTCAGCTAACATAACCTGGTAGTTGTATAATTATATAGACTGACTCAAACTAGGACAAAATAATGTGAATTTAAGTTATATCCATATTTAAGGGCTAAATAAGAGTTCATTTCAACTTAATTTAATAATCATTTAGTAATTTTCATTAATATAGTTACTAACTATATTATATTATTATATGTTATATATAATACATGTTATTAACTATTAAATTATCTCAACATTATTGTGCCTACAATGTAAATTATATCTGGATGGTCATTTTTACTTCTGCAGGGGCAAAGGAGACTCCCCAGAGGCTAGAGCATTGGCTAAACAGGTGACCACGGCCCTGCAGAATCTACAGACCAAAACCAACAGGGCTGTGGCCAACAGCAGACCCGCCAAGGCAGCTGTCCACCTTGAGGGAAAGATTGAACAAGCACAGCGGTGGATTGATAATCCTACAGTAGATGACCGTGGAGTTGGTAAGTGCTGGTCTCAGCACAAATGTGCACCTCACTGTTGAAAGGGTCCTCAAGCCACTGGGAAGTAACTTTTCAGTGTGCTTTTATTTCCAAATACAGCTAGTGAATTTTCTATAATTTAACCAAGAAGTGTTAGAAAGTAAATGATTTTGCTGTGGACAAGCTGACAAGAGTGTCATAACTGAAACTTTGAACTAATTGCTACCAATCTTATGTATATTTTCATCCTGGAGTATTTGTTTTATAGTCCTTACCAAGTACCTAGTTAAATATAGTTTTTGGAAATGACAGTAAAACTGTTTGATATCCTCACAGCATCCTGTAAAAGTTGAATCTTTTTTTTTTTTTTCTTTGAGACAGGGTCTCTCTATTATAACTCTAGTTGTTGTCCTGGAACTCACTGTGAAGACTAGGTTGGACTTGAACGCACAGAGATCTACCTGCCTCTGCTTTCCAAGTGATGGGATTAAAAACATATGCCATTATGCCTGATTGAATGTTGAAAGTATAATAATCTAAAAGTTAGTTTTTTTAAAAAAAAGATTTATTTATTTATTATGTATACAGTATTTTCCATATTTCTGTCTGCATATGTGCCTACAGGCCAGAAGAGGGCACCAGGTCTCTTTACAGATGGTTGTGAGCCACCATGTGGTTGCTGGGAATTGAACTTAGGACCTTTGGAAGAGCAGGCAGTGCTCTTAACCGCTGAGCCACCTCTCCAACCCAAAGTTAGTTTTTTTTTTTTTAAGAAGACCTAAGAATAGATTTATATGAGTTTTGTTTCATGATTGCCTAGCATGTCTGCCGAGGCTGAAGGATAGACTCACTGGGTAAGATGACCGCTTGAATTAGCGAGGACGAGTGCCAGTGAGGGGCTGGAGACCTGAACAGGGCATAAGCTTGTGTAGGAGTGAAATGACAGGAACATCCGGATCTGATGTTCTGTGCTTAGTGCTGCTAAAGTGTCATACCCACTGGGCAGCAATTGGGTTGTTAGGAGATTATTTTATCAATTCATTTTTAAGGAGTTATTATCAGAATGTATGTAAACACTATGAATATTATTGTAGAACTAGCAAGTGGTAAGATAGTTATGGTTAATATAAGAAAACATAGCCTATATTTTTAGGTCAAGTTTTTGGATTTCTGCTTTTATAGTGCCAGGGACCAAACCTAAGACTTGTGTGTGCTGGACAAGTACTCCAAAAGGTGTCAATGGAGACCCGTTGGTGTCCTGGTCACCCAGACCTGAATAATCACACAGAAACTATATTAATTACAACACTGTTTTGCCGATGGCACAGGCATATTTCTAGCTAGCTCTTATATCTTAAATTAACCCATTTCTATTATTTTATATTTTACCATGAGTCTCGTGGTTTGTTATCTCACATCTTGCTTCTTGGGTGGCTACATGACAGCTCTCTCCTTTGGCAGCTACATGGCCTCTGCCTGACTATGCCTTCTTTCTCTCTGCATTCAGTTTAGTTTTCCTGTCTACCTATATTCTGCCCTGCCATAGGCCAAAGAAGCTTCTTTATTAACCAATGGTAATAAAACATTCATAGCACACAGAGGGGAATCCTACATCAAAAAAATTTAGTAAGTGGAAATTGCTCATTATAAAGAAGAGGAGTGAAGTATAAAAGTTAGGCTTGGGGTGTAGGTCAGTATGAGATGTACATGAGGCTCAGGGTCTAATCCTAGCACTTCCCCCACTAATAAAAAGTTAATGGATAGTTTGTTCTCTTTATACTTTTCTGCATTTCCAAAGAGTTATAGTTTGTCAGAGAATCCTGTGCTCCTGTTAAATGGTATTTAAAAGACTCTGGAGTAGCATCACAGTGCCTTTCCTGCATCTATGTGAACTTGTGTTTCTTGGTTTAGGTCAGGCTGCCATCCGTGGACTTGTGGCTGAAGGACATCGTCTGGCCAACGTCATGATGGGACCTTATCGCCAAGATCTTCTTGCTAAGTGTGACCGTGTAGATCAGCTAACAGCCCAACTGGCTGACTTGGCTGCCCGGGGGGAAGGGGAGAGTCCGCAGGCGAGAGCACTTGCATCCCAGCTTCAAGACTCCTTAAAGGTAGATCGTGGGATACTTTTTGATGCCTATTAGTACAAAGAAGCAACAGGCAGAAGAGACTTTTGTAGTGTGTACATGCGTGTGGAGAGGTCAGAGGACCAGTTAGGTATCAGGCACCATCTACCTTTATTTTCTGAGACAGGGCATCTCATTGTTCTGGAACTTGCCGAGAGACCAGCCAGTGACCCACCCAGGGAGCTGCCTATCTGTACCTCTCCAGTGCCAGCAGTTTTTAGTGTGGATTTAGGAGATCAAACACAGATTCTCATGTGACAAGGCAAATACTTTACTGACTGAGCTGCCCCCACCTCAGCCTGAGACTTGAGATTCTTGGGTTTAGGGAAAATTAAAACAATGTCACCAAATATATAAGGAGATTAGAGTTTGTTAGGAATAAACCAAGTGGCAGCAACTAGTGTTTTCCTAAAGTTCATTTAATTGAGAGAGCTTTCATGATTTTGCTCTATGCATTTATCATTTTACTGATGTTTAGTCAGTATTTACTTTTTTAGATAGAGCATCTCAATCTGTAGCCCATGTTGGCCTTGAACTCTTAGAAGTCTTCATAACATGACCTGAGTGCAGTGATTATATGCATGTGCCTGGAGGTTATTGAGTTTTTCTGTAGACCTTACTATTTTATTTCATTTCTTTTAATATAGTAAGCTATTTAGAAATTTGGTACTGTATTTTCCAAATAGTTAATATAGTCATCACCAGGCCTGGCTAGACCTGGGAATGGTGAGGAACTCTGTTTCACCATAGAGCCTTCTTTGGGGTCAGCCCTGTGATTTCATTATCATTTCATAGTGTCTATCATGAAAGGAATCATGTATGCCCCTTTTACTAGACACTAATATCTTAGAGAACAGAATTCATAACTAAGTCTGTGCTAGCTCTGTGCTTACACATATTTGTTATTCAAGAAATAATTTTGAAAGTGAATGAATGAATGTATCAGTGAAGTTGGCAGATATGTCTTTTGGATGTTGCTATAAATTTCATTTTTAAACAATATTTTTAAGGATCTTAAAGCTCAGATGCAGGAAGCTATGACCCAGGAGGTGTCTGATGTTTTCAGCGATACCACAACTCCCATCAAGCTGTTGGCAGTGGCGGCCACAGCTCCTCCTGATGCACCCAATAGGGAAGAGGTAGGTATCTGAAGTACATGGGTTGCTTATGGATGAAAGATTGGAATGGCAAAAGGGGGAAATATTCTAGTCCCCCAAGAGTATCAGTTATGTCTGTCTTTAACTGTTAGTTGTAGCATATCTGGCCATTAGATTAGAGCAAGTGGCGTTGCTTTTCACCACATAGCAAGAAGCATGGCATGAAAGTATGTATCTTTGGTATTGGTTCAGAAGGTAGAAGTTGGCAAGGCATCACTCCAGGCAGGAAGGGTTGAGGATCACTCCAGCCACAGCTTTCTGAGTAGGGCACTTTAGACTCAACGTAAGTCAGGACACTTTTTAAACTCACTTGATGTAATAATTCTGTGCAAACCCTTCTGGTGACTCCTCCCTGTCCCAGAGTAAAGCCAGAGTCATTACAGTGAACAGAAGGCTAGTGATGTGCTAGTAAGCTAACTCTTCAGGAAAAAGACCCCAAAAGGCCTGATTTGTAAATAAGTGTCACTTGGATTTTCACTATGTAATACTCTTGGTGTGTTGTATTGATTTTTGTTTTTTTGAGACAAGGTCTTGCTGATTGCTTTTCTAGCCATCTATTTATTTATTTTTTAAAGATTTATTTATTTTGTTTACAGTGTTCTGTCTGCAAGTATGTCTGCAGGCCAGAAGAGGGCACCGGATTTCATTACAGGTGGTTGTGAGCCACCATGTGGTTGCTGGGAATTGAACTCAGGACCTCTGGAAGAACAATCAGTGCTCTCAATCTCTGAGCCATCTCTCCAGCCCCTTTTCTAGCCATTTATTAGCCACAGATGAGAAAAGTTTTTAGGGCCACTCAAGATGTGACAATTTTGGGTAAAGGTTGTGATCTTGCTTCTTAATGACTCTCCTTCTGGCCTAAGTTAGGAGGTGGTTCAGTTCAAAGTCCCCTTACACCAGGGGGATTTGCTGCTCTTTCATCCAAGCTTCCAAATTTCAGATCCCTAGATCCAACATTCTGCTGTCTTGTCTATCTGGAACTTAGATTGTAGATGCATTCTAAGTTCCTCAGCACATGCTGTTTCTCTTTGAAATGGTTTGTTTCCTGCAGCCTTTTTCTAGCCATTCCCACCAATAGATAACTCAGGCATATTCATTTACATCACCAGTAATTCTGAATCCTTTCTATCATGTTGCCACGATTTAAATTCCGATTCTTGGTCAACCATCCACTTCCTGGATGGTTGCTTAGCTCTGTTGTCCTCAAATCATTCATTAAGTCACCAAATTGGGGAAGAGGAGTTCTTCCATTCCTGATCTTCTCCTGGCTAAGCCATCCCGTGGGCATCAGGACAAAGGCTGGAGCTTTGTGCTAAGGCCTTGTTTATATGTTTGTTTGTTGTGCATGTACCCCCTAGGTGACCTGGATCTTAGGAAACTGAGGATGGCCTTGAGCCTCCTCAGTGCTGCTCTCCTAGATTGTGCTATAGCACCTGACTAATGGGGTGTGCTGGGGATCAGCTCCAGGACTTCCATGCATGCTAGCAAGCTCTCCATGTCCCCAAACTCCTGTGGTCTTTCTTTTACTACTCTATTATGTTTGTTTCATACAGGTTGCTTTCTCTTTTCCTTGCTCCTGCAGTAGCTAATTGTGTGTAATGTCTTGCATACTCAGCCCTTCTCTGTCTTTGCGTTCTCTCCCTACCTTATGACCTCCAGCTTCTTTTCTGCCTAGTTCCTCTTTATCCTTTCTTCTGTTCTTTTGCTTTCTGGATGGAGCAAGTACCTTTTCTTTTACTCCCATAAGGTTGTTGTGCGGCTGTGCTGTTTGACGTAGTGACTTACCTGTTACAAATGCCTGTTTCTGGGCTTGCTGCTAGGTTGTGAACCTTTTTAGGTGCAGATAATTATTTTCTCCATTACTTTTCAATACCTGTCTTAAGACTGGGCAAATAGTAGGTAGTCAGTGAACTTTGACTGAGCTCATAGAAAAGCAATCTAATGCATCATTTAAAGGGAGAACAGATATAGCCTGGGCTTGAAATGTCCACCAAAGTAGGCAGCAGACCTGTAAGCCTATAGTGTGGCTATCAGCAAGGGTAAGAAACCTTGTGAGCATTAACTAATAGGAAGCCAGGAAGCTGAATCAAAACAAGAGGTCAGGCTAGGTTGACTGCAGTTGGTAATATATAACACTGGCATGAGAATGGAGCTTGCCGTCGAGCTGGAAACCTTTAGAAATTGTCTGACTTGAGTCAGAGTTACAGAAGTAGTTCCTTCAAGTACCCCTAATAGTGTATTAAAAAAAGAGGTACTCTGCCAGGCTCCTGGTGTACTCAGTGCTGTTTGCTATACCTTATTTTCCACGTATCAATCCTAACGTCACCCAAACAAATAGAAAGCCTTTTGTCATTTTAAGTTAATAGTTTCTTTGATGTACAGTCTTTCATGAGACCCACGAGGGAAGGAAAGTTACCTTTTTAAGATTCAGAGACCCAGCTGAGCAGCTGAGTAGATGGATTTGCAGTGGGACTGAAAAATCACCCACCCTTGCCTTTGTGTTCCCTCCAGTAACCAGCTATCATCTTTCCCACTGAGGTCAAGGGCAGGGTTTTACAACTGTAATGGTAATGTGATCCATGGAAGGAGACTGGAGCTAGAGGACTCGTCGTGGATACGCGGGGGCTTGTAATGCACCCAGCTGCCTACAGTCGAGCCTGGAATACTTTGTCTCTCTTCTTCAAACTATGAGTGACACCTTTGGGGAATGAGATTATTTATTTAGTCTTTACATTCTGTGAACTTATTGCAGAGTATGTAATTCTGTGTGTATCCTGCTTGCTCTTGGTAAGTGAGTTTGAATGAAAATTCATGGATGTGTCTCTGTGTGTGTACGTGATGCTTAAGGCTGAACCTCTGAGGAAATATCTAAAGGTCAAGATTTGGCATTTGACTGTTGTCTTAGTAATAAGATTTGATGTCATCTCAAATTTTTAAGCAGTTTCAGAATCAGATTTAAAAGATCTTTTCTCAGACTTTCTGGTGCATTATATTGAAATAAATTTCCTTGATGTCTTTATTTTTTTTCTCAAGGTATTTGATGAGAGGGCAGCCAACTTTGAAAACCATTCAGGAAGGCTTGGAGCCACAGCGGAGAAGGCGGCTGCTGTTGGTACTGCCAATAAATCAACAGTGGAAGGCATTCAGGCATCAGTGAAGACTGCCCGAGAACTCACTCCCCAGGTTACATCACATAGTATTTACCAAATGAAATTAATTCTAGATGCTTTGTTAGGATCACATTAAAAAAGTCTGCGGAGGTGCTGGAGGGATGGTACAACAGTTAGGAGCCATCTTGAGGACTCTACCAGAGGACCCCAGTTTGCTGAGAGCACCCCTGTCATTTGACTCACAACCGCATGTAATTCCATCTCCAGCGGATCTTATGCCTCTGACTTTCATGGGCATCTGCACTCATATGCACAGACCCATATGCAACATACACACCTATGCATAATTAGAAATAATAAAAACAAATCTTAAACAAATGTGTGCGGAGCTAGGGAGATAGCTTAGCCAGGAAAGCACTTGGCACATAATTATGTGGACTTGAGTCTGGATCCCCAGAACTCATGTAAAAGCCAGTCATGGTGGGTATGTCTGTAATACAGTGCTCCTAAGGTGAGATGGTGGGTGGATACAAGGAGAATCCCTGGGAATTCGCACACCAGTGAGTCTGGCATACATAGTGATGAACAACAAAGAGACCCTTGTGGCCAAAAAGTTGGAAGGTGAGGATAAAGAAAGATCAGGGTTGTCCTCTGACTTCCGCACCATTTGTGGCACACGTGTACAGATTCACAAGTGCTTGCATGCACATTATATATACATACATCATACACATATACCCCATATCCATATTTACATATTCATTGGGTCAAACTTGGTGACCTCTAGGATTATGGAGGACTTTGACCTTTATATATTTTTGAACTGTTTGCATTTTTAGATAATGGTCAGTATTATTTTGACAGCAAAAGCGGGCAGTAAAGCAGCCCTCCCACCATCACATATATGTATTTAAGCATCTCTTTGAGGGGATTGAGAAGAATAGTTGCTTTCATTGCTAGCTTTCCTTTTGTACCCAATCGCATAACTAAAGTGTATAATTAATTAAAAGGATAGCTGGGAAGTCTAAGAACAAAAGAAGATTGGAAATGAGAGAAAACAAATTGGAAAGAATTAAGGTTCTGATAAGTCAGTCTGTCTTCCCTCCCCTCCCCACTCCCCTTTTTCTGAGGCAGGCTTTTGATTTGTAGCCAAGGCTGTACTAACACTGTCTAATTCTGGAACTCCAGGTGTGCGGTACCATACCCAGCCAGCTTTCTTTAGAAGATCAGCTGCTCAGCATCATTTGGTGTTGGTTCCCCCTTTCTCTTACTAACACAGTAAAATCCATTACATTTATTAAGTGCCTGTGATATATTGGGGGTTCTGCTGGCCTTTATAAATCTGTGATTCTAGCTTTCGTGGGAACTTTTCTGGGGAGGGGAGGGAAATGGTCCATGTGTGTTTATGTTGCCTGTCTCCCTCCCCATTCTCTTCCCCCGTTTGGGTATGGAATGTAGGACTGTTTACATGTGAAGCACAGACCTCATACCACCACTGGGCCACATGCCCCAGCCCATTTGAAAAGGTCACATTCATTTAACTTAAAAACAAAACAAAACAAAACAAAACAAAACAACATCTTGTTTATGAAGCCAGACTGGCCTTGAACTCACATTGGTGCCTTGAATGTGGGATGACAGGCACTCCTATGCCTAGCTTCATCCAGCCTTTCTAGAAATTTCCATAAAATATGAGCATTCTTAATTGAAAGAAAAAACAAGATCCTTCCGTAAAACACCAAACAAAACAGAATTTCAGCACAAGACTGAGATTTAAAAAAAAAAACAAAACAAGCCCCAGAAGAACAGAAGTTTAGGGCCGTAATCCATATGGGGGGCAGTGCGTCTCCTATTTTTCTGAAGTGTTCAGAAAAGCTAACTCTTCTTTATTTCTTTCCACCTCTGTTCTAACATGTTTTCCTGAACACTTTGGGCTTTCCCGCCAATATTTCAGGCTTCTTACTTTTCCTCTTAAAGTGTCTCTCCTTGCCACGTGGCCACTTGTCTGCCCTGTGTCTGACCTCCATGCCAGCTTAAATGGCTTTTTTCTTTTCTCCTGCTATCATCTTCTTCAGGTAGCTGCTGATTTTACAGCTTCCCATCCTGTGTTTTTTCTTTTTTTTTTTAAACTCTAATACTATTAATATTTTTAAACTCTAATACTAATAACAGAAGTTCTTGTGCTTCTAAAACCAAGAAACAATCCAGAAAACTAGACTTCACACTCCATTCTCAGAAGGAATGAAGACTTTAGGGACAGATCTGGACTCAAATGCATTCCAGCTCTCTCAACTCCATGAAGTTAGCCTTCATAATGCACTGTTTTGAGGACTAAAACCACGTGTGTAGACAGAATTACCAGCTACGCAGTGCTTCTTTCCCAAACACTCACTAACAAGACCTCTTGATGTTTGCGTCTCGGAAGTGAGGTGTTACCTACTCCACCTCTCATAGAGTCCATGTTAATTTTCACTTGTGTAATGAATGTGAAAGCAGTTTGTTAACTGAACAGTATCTTAGTTAATATTATTCTAAGTAAAATTTGAGTAATTGTTTGGTTACTTGTGAACAAGTGTTTTAATCAGTGTTATTCATAAATCAAATCTGAATAATGTTTTATATCATGCTAATACTATATTTTATAGACAGGGTTTTACTGTGAAGCCTTGCTGGCCTGGAGTTCACCAACTTGGTCTTGGATTTACAGAGATCTCTCTGTCTGTCTCCACAGTGGCAGGATCAAAGGGATGCTTGCTATGCCAACCTTTTCTCTTATTTTTGAGATATGGGTCTTCCTATAAAGATAGTTCAGGCTAGCATTAGTTTGAAATCTTTCTGCCTGCAGCCAGGGCTACACAGAAAAACTCTGTCTCCAAAAACCAAACCAAACCAAAACCTCCTTCCTCAGGCCCCCAGATGCTGGGATTACAGGATTGAACTACATTGCCTAACTTAACTTTTAGTTTCTCTTTGCTTCTTTTTAAGATGAAAGAGTTCATATGAAGACATACATCAACTCTTAAATTTTTGTCAATTTTCTTGTGTTCTTCTGAAATATTAAATGAATGTTTATTTACTTTGTCACCTAATTTTTTTCTTCAAACCTGGCTGTGACTCTAAAGCCTTTGTGTGAAGGGCCTCCTCTGAGGTCTGTTTATGGCACCAAACTTACTGTGTTCAGCCTTAAGAGGCTTACGGTGCCACCTATAGGAGAAATGTAGAAAAGTGTTCTCTGTGGGTTTGTTTTTGGAGTGTGCTGTGCTGGTGCCCTGGCATGTGAAGACTGCTTTGTCATCAACAGGTCATCTCTGCTGCGCGAATCTTACTGAGGAACCCTGGTAATCAAGCTGCTTATGAACATTTTGAGACCATGAAGAACCAGTGGATTGATAATGTTGAAAAGATGACAGGTAGAATTTTGCGAAATTCTTTTGATCTTTTGATGTGTGAGTTCTGAGGACCTCAAACAGGACCAGTTATATTAACTGTAGTTGGATAAAGTGACAATGAGGGGCTCAGCAGTGTGCTTGGCCCCAGTCAGGCTGCTGAGTGGTGGCGGCTTCTCTCTCATTCAGGCTTTGCTGCTGTGTTGGAAGAGGGACTGTTTGAGTCTCTTTATTTTAACACTGCCCTCTGGTGTGATGTTCATTGTTAAAGCTCCTATCTTCTCTTTGAATAGTGTCTTTGCCCAGTCCCAGCTAGAGTTTGGTTTCAGAGGCTGGGAGGCGGTGCTTGTGGATACAGTAAGTGGCTCTGTCACTTTCAGAGGTTTCAGATTTCAAGGAACCACAGTAGCTACCATTTAACCCAGCTTGTCTCAGAGTTTCCTCCAACTTATCAACTACATAGTTCAAAAAAAAAAAAAAAAAGGAGACACCTGTGTCTGTGTGACTGAAGAAGAACCCCCGAATCTTCCCTCGTCTCTATGGAGGGAGAGGACAGAGGACAGAAAGGAGGAGTGTGGGCTCTTTGCTGTCCCTGTAGAATCTGCTGTCAGGGGTCTGTAGCAGCCAGAGATGAAAGCAGAGCTCCTGAAGTGCCCAAAGAGAGGTAAAAGAAATAAGAAGCAGGCTGTTAGGGTTACTGGAGTTCTCCGCGTGGCTCATCTTAGACACTTCAAGCTGCCAGCAATCAACAGATGGCCGGAGAGTAAGATGGGAAGGGAGAAAATAGCAGATACTGTGGTGGTGATGCGGTGAAGGTTTCAGACACAATCCCTTGCTTCCTCCTGATGTCTTTGTGTCTCTGGTTGTCTGTGGTGGATATGAGAGGGCCAGTGACCACGGTCTGTATAAATCTTGAGTCCAAATCACCTGGACTATGCTTGCAATTTGTTCACGTGGAAGCTTTCAATTTTGTAGGAAGAGCTTTGAACTGAGAAGAGAATTCTGAGTGTTGTACTTTCTCATGAGAAGCAGACAGACAACAGTGTTTTAGAGTCTTTGTTCTTCTAAAAACAAACTCAGTTCCATTTTTGTTTTCTTGACAGGGCTGGTAGACGAGGCTATTGATACCAAATCTCTGTTGGATGCTTCTGAAGAAGCAATTAAGAAAGACCTGGACAAGTGTAAGGTAGCCATGGCCAATATTCAACCTCAGATGCTGGTCGCTGGAGCAACCAGCATTGCTCGTCGAGCCAACCGGATCCTGCTGGTTGCTAAGAGGGAGGTAGAGAACTCTGAGGACCCGAAGTTCCGCGAGGCTGTGAAAGCTGCCTCTGATGAATTGAGCAAAACAATCTCCCCAATGGTGATGGATGCCAAGGCTGTGGCTGGAAACATCTCTGACCCTGGTAAGCAATAGTGCATGGTGTCTTTCATCCTAACTGCAAGGTGAACTCGGTAAAGATGGGAAAAGAGTAGCTATCCACAACCACCACATCCAGAATCTGGGAGGATGTGCTTTCTCATGTAATCTCAACAACCAGGGGGCTGAGGCAGGAGGATAACTTTAATTTTGGGGCCAGTCTCAGCTATTTAGCCAGTTTGAGGACAGGCAGAGCTATAAAATGAGACCTTGTCTCAAAAAATCAAAAGAAAAAACTGTAGACATTTAGTTTGAGAATGTTGCATTAATCTTTCCTTCTGTTCAGTTTTGTGTACTGCCATGCTTGTCAATCTCTGGATCAGTACCTCTGCACTTTCTTGGTGTTGTCTGGCTTCCTATCGTAATTCATAATCAATACTTTGGAAACTTAAAGCCAAACAAAACAAAACATCAGCTACCCATCTGCCAGCCGTTTAGTTCGTGAAGTTGATATGGCTTTTTTTCTGCTTGTCTCACTTACAGTGACCTCTCTTTCTAGAGAATCTTGTTTTTGTTAGATCTAGAGTACTTAAACTAACTCTGGTTTCTTAGGCTCTATTTGGAAGAATTTGAGTTTTCTTCAGCTACATTTTGATCATAGTTTCAGTATCACTAAGGGAGATAATTGCATTTACTCATTTGTTTGTAACCATGTATCCTTCTTTGGAAACTGACATTTCCCATCTCATCGGTGAAAATCTAGGTTGCCTGACTCACTAGTGGCCCAGGCAGAATCTTCTTCAAATTCATGGTCTACCATCACTGTGGATGCATTTGATCTTTTCATTGGAGTTTCTAAATATTTTAGCAGTTCAAGATAAGGGTTAGCACCTTGAATGCCAACTAGAGCACAGACCTAGAAAGGTGAGATGTACTCTAGGGAGCTACCGACTCAATCTGGAGCCGACATCTCCTGTGCTCTGCACTCAGCAGACCTGGCCATGACCATGCTTCATCATAAGAGAAGTGATGGGTACCACCTGAGCCTAGCTTACCCAGGATTCTCCCAAGCACCTGAGTTGTGCTGTCAGAGGCATCCTCACCACTGTAGGAACAGCTGCCTGGTGACACTTCCTCAGGGCCTCTAGCTTGCCCTACTTCCCTTTGCCTTGTCACTGCCATGATTCCTACTGGCAGCTTCACATCCAGCCTCATTAATAGGAACCAGTTCTTCTGCTGGACAGGCAGTGCTGTGGGTACTGACCTGCCCAGCTGAAACTGAGAGTGTCTTGTGTTTAGGCCTGCAAAAGAGCTTCCTGGACTCAGGATATCGGATCCTGGGAGCCGTGGCCAAGGTCAGAGAAGCCTTCCAACCTCAGGAGCCTGACTTCCCACCTCCTCCACCAGACCTTGAACAGCTCCGAGTAAGTACGCTCAGAGATGGGAGGAACTGAGCAGCCAGGGGTTGAGCCCGTGTGTGAGGCAGATCTGCTTTTATAGTCTGCAGGTCCAGGTGGCTTGTGTAGGTAACCTTTATGTGATTAGTTAGAGACAGATCTTGATTTTCATTCCTGAATTGTATGGCATCATAACCCATCACTTGTATATGTGCTTACATGATATTAGCCCACGTGACAGGGTGAGAAGGGAGCAGAGGTAAGTGCAGTTGTGATGGAGTGATGTGGTACCAGTTTAAAGTACATTTGTGGTGAGGCTTGCTAAGTGGGGGAATCACAGCATTAGAATCTTGTTAGATTCTTGCCTTTCTCTCTCTCTCTCTCTCTCTCTCTCTCTCTCTCTCTCTCTCTCTCTCGTAACAAAATTGATACTCGTTTTTAAAAAATTTAAAAAAGTGTGTGTGTGTGTATGCATACATGCATACATACATGCAGGACCACATGCAGTTCATGCATGTGCTTGTGGAGGATAGAGGTCAACTTCAAGTGTTGTCCCACCTTAGTTTGGAACCAGAACCTCTCAGTGGGATGTATGGCTTGCTGGCTGGCCAGTGAGTCCTTGGGATTTGCTTGTCTCCCTCTCCCCAGGGCTGGGGTTACCAGCACATACCACCATGCCGAGTTGTTGTTGTTTGGAGCTTTGGTTTTGGGCTTTCTCTACACAGCGTTAGTTGTCCTGGAACTTACTATGTAGACCTGACTGGCCTTGTGATCTCTCAGAGATCTGTTCCAGAGTGCTGGGGTATGCTGAGTTTTTCACTTGGGTGCTAGGGATCAAACGAGGGTCTTCATGCTTACATGGCAAGTGCTCAGTTATCTCCCCAGACCAAGAAAAGTTTAAATTTTATATATATAGGTTCTTTGTACTGCTTGCATGCCTAGTACCCTCAGAAGAGGCATTAGATCCCTTGGATCCAAAGTTGTAGATGGTTGTGAGCTGCTCCGTGGGTGCTGGGAAGTTTAACCTATATTTTCTGAAGGAACAAGTGTTCTTAACTGCTGAGCCATCTCTCCAGGCCCTTGAATCTTTCTTTTTGTAATTCTTTCTCATTAAGTATCATGGATATATTTTTCCATGGTTTAAGAATAAGCTAGTTGGGTAATTTCTTGCAGTTACAAACCATAGAAACAGAAATAGTAATGATCTTACTCAGATCTTATTCCAGCTAACAGTTTAGAAATATGTTGGAGAATAGCATAACAAGGCAATAGTTATATTTCTTTGGTATGTTTTCTTTTCTTTGTTGGTTTTTTTTTTTTTTGAGTGGTTTTGTTTGTTTTTGAGACAGGGTTTCTCTGTGTAACCCTGTCTATCCTGGAACTATCTCTTGTAGACCAGGCTAGCATTGAACTCACAGAGATCTGCCTGCCTCTACCTCCCGAGTGCTGGGATTAAAGGCATGCTCCACCATTGCCTGGGTTTTTTCTTTTCTTTTTGACTTTTTAAAACAGGGTTTCTCTGTGTAGCCCTGGCTATCCTGAAACTTGCTCTGTAGACCAGGGTGGCCTCAAACTCACAGAGATCCGTCTGTCTCTGCCTCCTGAGTGCTGGGATTAAAGACATGCGCTACCATTGCCTGGCTCCAACCTGATATCTTTTACTGGTATTAAGAAAGAAAATATAGCCAGATTTTCACAGGAGGCAGATCTCTGTGAGTACAAGGTGAGCCTGGTCTATTGAGTGAGTTCCAGGACAACCAGGCTGTTAAACACACACACACACACACACACACACACACACACACCACTGTCTCAGAAAACCAAAAAAAGGAAAAAAAGAAAAAAGAAAAAGAAGATGTCAGGTTGGCTAAGGATAAAACTGGATTGCTACACATAGGTAAGGTTGGTGGTTTCCAAGTTTCAGTATTTCTGTACACTTTCCCTTGAGGCTCTTGATGGTAAGAGCCATAGGAGGGTGAGATTCCTGGTAAGTGGCTCCTTTGAGTCCCACCACTTAGAATTAGGGTTGTAGAGATCACGTGGCAGATGCAGAACTTGAAGCTCTAATGAGAAGTTATTGTCTTTCATTTGCCTTTTGGCAACCAGAACCAGAACTAGGCTTTATCTCTTCTATGGGATTGGCTATGGAATGACTGATCTGTTAATGCTGTGTATGCCTCCCATGGGAGATGACCAACATATAGCTGTCTTCTTGTAGAGAAGAAAATGTTCTTTTATTGTGATTACATAGATAGGCCTCATAGCTAGGTGTGGGTGATCTTACATGGAATCAGTGTGGGCAGATTTTCAAGATTGGTTTTTGGTAGTAGTTGCTAGGGCTTACACTGACAATCTGTTTTTTCACATTTGTAGCTAACTGATGAGCTTGCTCCTCCTAAGCCACCTCTTCCTGAGGGCGAAGTTCCTCCACCCAGGCCCCCTCCTCCAGAGGAGAAGGATGAAGAGTTCCCCGAGCAGAAAGCTGGGGAGGTGATTAATCAGCCCATGATGATGGCTGCCAGGCAGCTCCATGATGAAGCTCGGAAATGGTCTAGCAAGGTAAGCTCTGAGAATTTCCTTGTCAAGAATGGGAGTCTTCCCAGGAAGGATGGAGAACCATATCCCCAACCCAGGAAGAAGTCTAATTGGAGTCACCTTCCTTCTTGCTTACTGCGTGTGTTTCAGGCAATATGTTGTTCTTTTTTCCAGTGACTTAGTGAGAAGTTTGATTGCTTACCTCTGCTTGGGCAAAAGTAAAAGCTGAGATGTCTGTGGCTAAAGAAGAGTTTTTTCCTCTTTGTTCATTAGTATCAGCTCTGACTCCTGACATTTTGGGTCTTTTTTTAGAAGCTTTATCTTTCTTGGATTATTGAATGTTTTCCAATCTCCATTACTAACTGGCAAAACTTCAGTTGTGAAAGTATCTCTTGTGGGCTTTGCTAGATGAATTCTGTACATTTTCTTCAATTCTTGCATTAAGAAGCAGATAGAACTGGGCAGTGGTGACACATGCCTTTAATCTCAGCACTTGGAATGCAGAGGCAGGTGGATCTCTGTGGGTTTGAGGCCAGTCTCGTCTATAAGAGCTAGTTCCAGGACAGGCTCCATAGCTACAGAAAAACCCTGTCTCGAGGAAAAAAAAGAAGAACAAGAAGGTAGATTGGTGTTCCAGAAGGAGTATATTTTTGTCCTTTCTCAGAATCATCCTGTCCCCGCCTCTATACTCAAGACAACTCCAGGTTATCTTCAACTCAGCTAATTTAACAGTCCAAATATTAATGAGGGGGGAATTTGGATGTGACAGCAGTTCTGCCTCCACGTTCTGTCTGTCTCCCTGAGTGCTGGAAGTGAGTGGCAGCTTTTCTTGCTTAGAGTGGAATCCTGTTGCTCATTTAGCAATGAGATGTGGTTCTTAGTTCTAAACTGTTTCTAATGCACCCTGAATACTAGACCTTCATTCCCACTATATTCCTTTATTTTTACATCCACAATTGAATATACTTCCTGGGGGAACTGGTCGGCCTACCCCACCTTAGAAATTGACCTTGGTTTGTTTGTTTGTTTGTTTCTTTTTAAAAAAGATTCATTCATTTATCCATTTATCCATTTATCCATTTATCCATTTATCCATTTATTTATTTATTTATTTATTTATTTATTTATTTATTTATTTATTTATTTATTTATTTATTTATTTATTATGTATTTAGTGGTCTGCCTGCATGCATGCCAGAAGAGGGCACCAGATCTCATCACAAATGGGTGTGAGCCACCATATGGTTGCTGGGAACTGAACTCAGTATCTCTGGAAGATCAATCAGTGCTCTTAACCTCTGAGATTTCTCCAGCCCCCTTGACCTTCGCTTTTAAACTAGTGTCTGAACTGTTAGCTGGGAGCCCAGGACCTGACCTGTGCAATTATTTATAATGGTATTTCTCCAGCACCCCGGATCATGCAGCATAAACCCTACTGTGCATGGAGAGTGGGTGAGAGTGGAACAGGGTCAGTTTTCCTCAGATGAAACAGAAATTAATTATGATAAACCTGCACATATTTGGAAGAATACAAAAATATCTGTGGACTGTAAAGGTGACACTTCAGAGGGTCAGGCAGCATTTGCCCTACTCTGCTCAGTGTGTTCAGAAGTCCTGCCCAGAAGGACTGAACTAATGCGTTCACTGGCTTTTGAGCCATGTATGGGTGGGGGAAGCTGTCTTTGTGCAGCTTGTCACTCTGAACCTTAGCAAGCAACAGTAAGCTGCTCTTTTCTTCGAAGGAATGGGAATGAGTCTTGGTTGAGACAGTGAGAAAGGACTGGTGATATCTAAACCCCTTACTGACCTTGTGTCTTCCAACTTCATTGCCACTTTTTAGAGATGGGCTTTGTATTTAGGATAAGAATTTTTATTTTTGTTCTTGTTTTTTGAGAATTATTTTCATTTTATGCCTATGGGTGTTTTGCCTGCATGTATGTCTGTATACCACATGTGTGCAGTACCCATGAAAGCTAGAAGGTGTTAGGTCCCCTGGAACTGTAGATACAGATGGTTGTGAATCATCATGGTGGTGCTGGGAATTGAAAGTAGTCAATGTTCTTAACTATCTTTCCAGCCCAAATTTCTATTTTTAATATTTCAAAGTTTTCTTATGGCTTAGGACTCAATGGTCTCCAATGTGGACTTCTTGCCTTGGCGTTTGGAGTCCTGGGACTCTAGAAATGTACTGGTAGGATAAGACTTTTTAGGAACCTTAAATAAAGTTCCATATGAACATATATTTCCTCCTGATCACAGGTTCTTGGGTAGATAGCCTTTGTTTACCAGCCTTTTTTATAAATGGCTTGGCTTCATTAAATTCCTTTTCTTTCCATTCCATCTGTTTTTAAGCATCTGTCTTCCCAGCCCCTTACAATTCCTACCTTTTGTATAAAATTCATGTCCTTCCCTTCTTGGTCCCTGTTCTCTTGTAAGCAACCATTTTGGGTTCATATGAGGGCTCCTTTGAGCTTAGCCTCATTTAGTTGCCAAGTCCATGTGTCACCTGATCTGTGAACTAGTAAGGTGAGTTTGGGGTGAGCAAGAAGCTGATTTCAACAAAAGAGAGGTTTAGGCTGTATCCAGAAGGCGGTGCTTTCAGTTGCAACAGTAAGATATTGTGGAAGCTTTGTCTTTGAAGATCCTTTTTAAAGGAGAAAGACAGGCTAAAATGTAGGTTTTTCCATTGCTATAGGAACTAGATGAGGTACCTTCTTTAGGCTCCTTATAGCTATCTAAGCAGTTGTAGTGTATTTTGTAAATCTTCTTCATGAACCATTAGGTTGACTTTTTTCGTCTATTTCTTGGTTTGCTGTTGCTTTTGACATGCCATTCCTAATCTGGGACCTGTAATCCCTAAAGGAACTAGTAAATGCCTGGTAGCTGCGGAGCTGCATGTTCCAGGATGATGGGATAGTGAGTATCTGATTTAGGAGGAGTCTCAGCTTTCCTTTTCAAACAGCTTATATGGCTGTGTCTACTTTTCTCCTCTGGACTTCTTTTCAAGGTTGTTTGGCTCCCCAAACATGTGATTCTGGTCATGTTTAACTTCAGCAACAAGCATATATTTCCTTCTCTGGAAATCTGCTAGAGCAAATGTATTCACTTATTTCAAGGTGACTTAGGCTGGAGACTGAGTTCCTGTCTTTGAACCTTGGCTCACCTGGCTCCTGGAGAGCATGCCATTTTCTTTCCCATCCCAGGCAAGCTTTGGTTACTAAACCAGCTGAAGCTCCATTTCCAAAGTCCTTTTGTTCTTACTAACACTATCCCTATTTTTCACCCTCCCTACCATCGACAAAGCCGGGTATCCCAGCTGCTCAGGTGGGTATAGGAGTTGTAGCTGAGGCAGATGCGGCTGATGCTGTTGGGTTCCCTTTCCCCTCTGACATGGAAGACGATTACGAACCTGAGCTGCTGTTAATGCCATCTAATCAGCCGGTCAACCAGCCCATTCTGGCCGCGGCTCAGTCCTTGCATCGGGAAGCTACCAAGTGGTCTAGTAAGGTACTGATGGTGCCCAGTTGGGGGCTGCTCCAAACGCACCCGGCCATGCAGCCTTGACACCTTGCATCACTCATTGTCTGTGTGGGTCCTGCGAGTCTGAGCCGGGCGGGCGACTGTCTGTCTGCACCTTCTTGTTAGGGCTGGCTTCACAAGTTTGATAGGTTTGCGAATGTCCAAATGAACCGCATTTATGTTTAGGGAATAAAGAGAAATGGGGTCACTTTTCAAAGGATTCATTTTCTTCCCATTTTTGTGGCCATTATTGGATCTGTAAATGCTCCAGGAAGCCATAAATGCACCTCTCAGTGACTTCTAGGTCAGGAGCCTTTGGGGACCACTGAAAGTTCCCCTAGCTTGACCACTGAGCTTTGCTTGGCTCCCACTGACCTCTCACCCTGATGACTCAGGCAGAGTTGATCAGGGCAAAAGCAGTTTTATCTGGCAGAGTCTCTGGGGAGGACTGCTTGCTGTCTTGCACCTGGCTGTGCGACAGATGCTGGCCTTTGTGGGAGCCCACGGGGCAGGGGCTTCACTGATTGCTTTTCCAGGTACCTCAGAGGGGTTGGAAAGTGGCCACAGGGGAAGCTCAAGGCTATCACTTAGGTGACAGAGCCTTGGATCTGAACTAACATTTGTTTGGAGAGTTAGAGGTGTAGAAGTGATCACTTTTTTGGGTTTTGTTTTTCCTATTTAAGAATGGCATGTTGCAAGTGTCTGAGGATGGTGGGTAATAACTAACCCTGGCACTGTGCTGTCTTCTAACCAAAGTCATGTAATCCTAAATTACCTCAGGTCTGCATTGAAGTTCTCCCAGAGGGGAGGGCTTCGGCTAACACGTGCCTTTCCTCATGACCTCCTCTAAAATCTGTGTCCTCTCTAGCCTCAGTTTATTTCCTGTGACGTGTACTTTCCCACATCAGTGATGAGCCACTTCATGGTGCCTGTGGAGTCCTTGCAGAGCACCAGAGTAGCATGGTTTGTGTGTGCCTTACCGCACTGTGTAGAAACTGAAAAGCATGAGGGGGACAAATGAGTGGAGCTTGGCCATTCAGTTAAACACTGTAGTTGCTGTACTTTTAGGTTGGTAAGGACATAAAATAAATTGCTTAAATATTTCCTTATGACCCATGAGGGTTTTAAGTAAGCCAAATGCCAAATCTCAGACAAATTGCCATTAATGAGAGAGGGTCAATCTTTTAGAGCCTGGCTCAGGTTTATTTATTTATTTGATTCCTCCCTCAGTATCTTCCTAAGTGAACATTCCTTAATCGGAGGCTTCACTTAGCTGATGAGACCAGCAAATTGATTTGTGGGATCAATTTTCTTTTAATGTGGAATGATTAAAATAGCCTGCTCTTTCAAGCTGACAGGTCAAGAGGTAGAGGGAGGCCAAAGTAGTCTAGATGAGAAAATGTCCATTTCTCTAGTTTTCCTCACAGGCTGAGAATCATCACCTGGGTTCTAAGTTCTAGTGAAGCAGTGTAAGTGCGTGGCTGCCGTTCATAAGAGCAGATATGGAGAGGATGCTCTTAGCACCTAGAAAGCCTCTTCTGTGCTTGGCCAGCTCGCTGCTTTCTCCCCTATGATAGAGATGAATATGCCTGTGTGACCGACTCCTTGGCTCTGGCCCTATGTTATTGACACAATTAACCTGGAGATGCTCAACTGCCTGTTCAGTGCTGTGCCTGGGGCACCCACGTTGTCTTTTCAGACTAATCTCTAGGTCTTTTAATTCAGGATATCCTCTCTCCCTGAGTGCTGGGGCAAGTGCCCATTCTCTCTGCTGTCCTCCCTCCAGTGCTTTCCCCATCTCCTTAGCCTTCCAGAGGCTGCAAGAGCAGCAGATTGCCTCCTGTTTTTTTTCTACTTTCCTTAACTTGACTAGCATGTGGTCAGAGCTCATGCTGTATCTCTGCTTCTCTCTAGGGCAATGACATCATTGCAGCAGCCAAGCGCATGGCTCTGCTGATGGCAGAGATGTCTCGGCTGGTAAGAGGGGGTAGTGGTACCAAGCGGGCACTTATTCAGTGTGCCAAGGACATCGCTAAAGCCTCTGATGAGGTGACTCGGCTGGCCAAGGAGGTTGCCAAGCAGTGTACAGATAAGCGGATTAGAACCAATCTCTTACAGGTATTTGGGGAAATAAGTTGTGTGTGTGTGTGTATGTGTGTGTCCAGACAGGAGAGGAGGAAGGGAGGGAGGGAGGGAGGGAAGGAAGGAAGGAGGGAGGGAGAAAGAAGAGAAGAGTGCATCTGAGTGGGAAGCGTGAATGCGAGGGAAAAGGCGAGAGGAAATTGGGCGAATAAGGAGAAAGCAACAGCAGCAAGGGCCATGTGTGGATTAAAAAAACAAAACAAAACAAAAAAACAAAAAACCAGACTGAAAGTTTATGTCCTAACCCAGTGGAATTTGAATGCCTCCATCTATGAACCAGTTCGGTCAGGGCTGGTCCTTTATTGAGTAGTCCTGCATGCCAATGACTGGGAATGGAGTTGGGTATATCTGCCTTCAAGGAACTTGTGGGCAAGACAACTAACAAAAACCAAATGAAACTTTCTCTTTAGGTGTGTGAGAGAATCCCAACTATAAGCACCCAGCTCAAAATCTTGTCCACAGTGAAGGCTACCATGCTGGGCCGGACCAACATCAGCGACGAGGAATCCGAGCAGGTATGAGCTGCTGCTCTGGGTTCCCTGCCTCGAGCTTCTTTGCTGTTTAATCTTAGCTTTAAGACAAACGTACCTCGAATTAAAAATGCAGCAACCCACTCTTTTCTTATCTTCCCTCTGGTGGACCCTACTCTGAGTCACACTCCCCGTTTCCCTAGAGAGCACATCTTGGTTGGCAGACCCATCATTATTCTAAAAGTTAAAATGAGGGAGACAATCTCTTCCCATTAGGGAACTCACAGATAATTTGGGAGACCAACTGCTTCCGACCTCTACAGAGGCCAGGGGCACCCCGAGGAATAAGGAGGACACTCTCCTATACACTACTGTGATTTTAACTCTCGCCTTCCCGATATCCCTAACTTCCAGATATTGCAAGTGAAGTTTGGTACTGGGTTATTTTAGTGGGATGTCTTCTGCCTAAAGATAGGAGAAGCTGGGAGAGGAAAGATACAATGCAGTTCATGCTAATTAATGCACAGGAAATGAATCAACAAACTGCATGCTGAGACTATGTGTGTTTCATTAAGTGTAAAGAGTAGATACAGTGTGGTACAATGGGACAAACAGGACACAGGAGAGAAGTCTTGAGTGGGACCCTGACTTTGTGTGAGTTTGGCTGGCACGGCTCCCAGCTTTTCTGGGCCCAAGAGCCTTCCTAATAACAAGCAATGTTAGGAATTCAGATGGTAGGTTCTTTCCCCAAAGCCCTCTGAAATTTATGCACACGTTTCAACTCATGTGACACATTTTTCTGAGAAACCCTATAGCCTTCATTAAGTCCTCAAAAGATCTATAACTTAAAGATATAATTACTGCCCTAGAGAATCATTGAGTTGTCTGAATGTGAGCAGACTTCTAGCTAGATCCCTACCTCTAAGCTTGTGTGTTTGGAAAATTAATGTACATACATTTATAATGTAGTTGGTTGCTTGGTTTGATTGTGTTTGTTCATTGTTTATTTAATGCCTCCTGTCCAAACAGTGGAGAGCAGTGAACAAAAGTAACGAATATCTGACCTATGGAACTTAAAATTTAGTAGATACCCCCAAACAAACAAAAACAATTGCCAGACAACCCATCCCCGAAACAATGTAGGTAGAATATATAGCATACCAATTAGTGACAATGGATCTTAGGAAGAAAAGTAATAACTTGAAGAATGTGGCTTGTAGCAAAGCTCTGAAGGACACTGGAGGGAGAGGAAATAGCAGGAAAGATCACCACCTTTGAAAACCAAGATTGAGTACATGCTGTCATCCATACAAGGACACAATGCCCAGTTGGTGGAGTGTCGTTTATATAATTAAACCACCACTGATGTGAGCATGGGATGCCAGTGTAGGTGGGGTTAACTACATGCAGTTGACGCCTGGCTTCATGGATTCTTGAAGGCAGCATGGCATTAGGGACTATAGTAACGGGCCTCTTTTATTACAGGCCACAGAGATGCTGGTTCATAATGCCCAGAACCTCATGCAGTCTGTGAAGGAGACTGTGCGAGAAGCAGAAGCCGCTTCAATCAAAATTCGAACAGATGCTGGATTTACTTTGCGCTGGGTCAGAAAGACTCCCTGGTACCAGTAGGCGCCTAGCCAATCCTGGCTGGTATATATAAGCATCTGCTAGGGAGAAGAGAATGAGGAGTTCAGAGTTACTGGGAGTAGAAATCAATTCCTGGTCTCACACACCAGAAATGAATGGGGGCTTCTCACATAGAAAACATTTACACTCTTGTTATGGACACTTTGCGATGTGTCTCTGTATGGACCCTGTACTCTCACAGCACTCCTGTGCACAGTAACCCAGTAAGTAGACTGGGTCTCTAGCCCATGGATTACATAAGCTCCGAGTAAGAGTGAACACTATCTGGAAGCCCTGCTCTGCTCCAGGGAACATAACCCTCTGTTTACAGTTTACCAACTCCCTTTCCTCATTTAGGCCCCCTAGACTAGAGCTGTGGCAAGTCAGTTAATTAACTGTGCTTCCAAAAGTTATTTTGGGTTTTCCATGTTGCTGTTGACCTGCCTGCCTTCCCTGGGCCATGCATCATCACTGCAGGATAAGGTGGTCTCTTATAAGGGAGGGTCTGCATTCATTTCCTGCTTTACCCCATGTAATCCTAGTTTCTCACGATGTAAAACTGGGAGGAAATCACTATTCTGTCTTTACCATGCCCCTGAGTAATATCTGTGCTCGGGGAAACTTCCTGCTTCACATCCTGCCTTGCTTGGTTGCCAAGGTAACCACCCAGCAAACACACTGGTGCTCTCTGCCTCTAGAGGGGCAGAGTAGCTGGGGTGTGATCCTGCCCATTCCCCCAATGGGGCCACTCCCAGGTTCTCTATGCTTTGTCACTGCCAGTAGAGGTCTGTGCTGACGCCTTAGCATTCATTCATAACTTTTTCTTTCTTTCCTTTTTTTTTTTTTTTAAAATTTCTGAGCTGAAATGCTGCATTTATTTTTAACCAAATCACCCCGGGCTTTGGCAGTCTTCTATATGCTTCTTAAACAAGACTTTAAAGATACATAGGTATGTGTTTGTCTGTAATCCTCCCTAGCCCCCACTTTTTTTTTTTAAATTTTGAGACTGGATCTTCTTATGCTGTCAGGCTAGCCTTTGAACTTCAGGGTTCAAGCAACCTGCCTACAAAGTATTAGCACCTACCAACCACACTTGGCTCCTTTAAAGTTTGGAAGGTCCATTCAAAATTAAGCCCTAAAAATTACGGCTTGCTCCTTAAGAACATTGAATGGAAAGGCAGTCCTGTCTGAAAGATACTTCTTGTGTAAAGGAGATAGCACTTGCAGATTACAATGCTGGTGCTGCTAGAATAAATCATAGAAATTACTATAATTCCAGTTGCTTTTAACCAACTACAGCCAAGTCTTTCATCCTCTCCCACATATTCAAGAGTAATGAGTATGATATCTAATATCAGAAAGATATGTTTCCTATCTGGCAAAGTAAGTGAGAAAGTGACTTTCCCAGTATTTATCCACAAGCATTTTCAAGGACATAAATATTACTTTCAGAAGTCAATAATCAGATGAATGGAGTGAGACCCTTTCCTGGATGTTCTTCCCTTACCTACTGCGTTCAATCCCAACACTGAATGTGTAAACCTTAAGTTGATCCTGTACACTCAGGCTTCCTCTATTTCCTTTCAGCTGATTATTGTCAAAGCTCTCAATATACTTGTAGAGTTGCTTACCTGATATAAATGCATATCAATGCCTTTAAAGTATGACTCTATGCCAAAGATCACCTTTTGTTTTAAAGATTACTTAGAGGAACTAAGAATCATTTTTGCTCTCCAAGTTCTTCCAGTTCTGGAGACACACGTCTGCCAGGTGTGCTTTCCGTGAGCGTCAATGCTTACAATACAAGGAGGCAAAAGGAAACAGTCCGTGAATGAGTTAGAGATGCTACCACTAAAACAAAAGAAACTACATTTATAAGCTAGGATTTATTATATACAAATATTTTCTGCCTTTTCTTTTGTTCTGTTTAAAACAAATAAAATACATTTATATGAATAACTCTCTGAATGATGGACATACTATTTTAATAACAACTTTAGGTCAGACTTTTATTTCTGAAGAATAGCCAATGAAATTAATCCTCAGGATATGGATAATATTAAAAAATACTAAAGATTTTATTCAATCCATAAAGGAATGGAAATTAATAGTATATTTACATAAGTGGGTCTATGTGGTAAAGGACAGTCTTGGCACCTATACATTAGAAGGAGCAGAAACCACAAGTTATCAGTGGCAAAGCAGCTAGGTGTGGGTTACCATTGGTAGAAGTAACTCTCATTTTAGAAGGTTTTAGCTATTACCGGAGACCATAACTGTCCCTTAAAAAGCAGAAGTTGTGAAACATGGGGGGCACTATTGTGTCTTCCAAACTCCAGTATGGAACAGTGTCGTCAGAATCCAGTAGGGCTGAGGCTTGAGAAATCACTGACTAAAATAAAAACATGTTTTTGCCTAATTTTCTAGAACAGGGGTGGGGGGAGGAGTTAAATAATACTACAGGATGAAATTCATCATTGTGTTGACTGAGAAGTTCCCAACTGGAGAAGTGGATTGCAGCCTGGTTCCAAGGCTGTGGAATTCACTTAGCCAACATTGTTGCTTCTAAGGAAAACAACACTAGCATATTCCAGTGTTCTTCTGTAGCAACATGTAAGGAATGAACCCACCAGCTGAATTCCCCATGTGTACGTGTATGGCAGGCTACCTCACACAGAAAATAACCATGTTTTATTTGCTTTTAGATTATGGTTCCTTAAGAACAAAGAAAAGGGGAATATGCTAGATTAACCAGAACTCAGGTGTTTAAAAAATTTTGAATCTATATGGGAAGTGATGTAATGAAGGTAGTTTTTATCACTTTTACCACTAAGTCTGTGACTAGAAAGGGGACACTTTAAAATGATGAATGGTTGTGACTATGCTCTACTTAGGAAAAGGCCTCCTGAATGTTCTTAAGCAACTGTAATACTTGTGATACAGAAGAAACTGATCCCATGCAGCTGGCTCTAACTCAGCCTGGATATGAGAATGTTCCATCAACAATCAAACTTAAAAAAAAAATCAGTTTGTTGCTTTTATATTTTTATTGACATTATAGCCAGAGCTAGGGAAAGGACTTACTGGGCTCTATCAAATTAATAAGTACAATAATTTAACTGTAAAGGAACACAGTCTGCTTGGCTGTTTTAGCAGAAATCATTAGAGACAAGGGACTCTTGGTATATGTTCCACTTTGAAAGACAAGACTGCACAGGAGGAATGTTGGACAGTCTAGGTATTGATGGTGAGACAAAGGATTGCGAAGAAATTCAACTGTCAAAATTGTTTTTGAGTTAAAAGACAAGATATTTAAATTAGAGCTAGATAACCAATCTTAGTCAAAGCGAATAGATATTTTGCATTTTGACTTAAAGCTGCCAATCTAAGATTGGTTACTCAAGTAATTTCTATTTGAAGCTGCAAAAGCTGGCCTTTCTTATTAGACGAGGGTAACAGTAACCATGCTACTGTATCACCAGCACTCCAACAAGGACTGTAAGAGAGAGATGGAAGAAAATAATGGGCTACAGGATAAGAAGACTAAGTCTAAAGAAAATCAAGGGGAAATAGGAAGAGCAAATACTTATATCTTAACTTTCAGTCTTCCTCCATTTTCATGTCTAATGAGGCAAAATCACTGCATAAAGGATTTCCAAGCAAATGATGTAGAATGCAATGAGTCATAGACTGACTTTCCCAGTGTTAAAATCGATTGGTATAAATCATGACTGAGAATGTTTGTCCTTCGTGTACACAGTACAACAAAGACACTTAAGTGCTTCAGTCACATTTTGATAGGGTGGGAAGTTTAGGAAAGGTGCCTGTCACAATGGCCTTAGGATATAAGTACTATGAAAAGGAGCTCCTCCAAATACAGGGCATACAGGTAAATCCAACCATTTAAGCACAAAAAGATAAAAGACTGAGAAGAGAAAGAATAGTGGTAGTGAAGCAGACACATTTTTCTCCTTTTGCTGAACTGGGACACGAGATTTTCAGGCTAACTAGGTTACAGTGGCATTAGATAAAGCTTTACTGAAACATGAAAATGGCAAGATTTTGCTTAATTTTCTCTTTTACTACTTTAATTTGTTTAAAAGCACAAACACTTGTGCCTGCAATAACTTCCTATAAGCAGAAGTAGTGTTCCCTTTTATTATCTTAATAAAGTATTTGCCCCTTTGATGCAAATGATGTTGACTGTGCTATCTAGCAGCTGATGGTGTATCTACTGCAGCAAGGTCCTTGTAAATCAAAATCTGAGCTTTACATAAAAATCTTATTTATAAAAAATAGAATACCAAGTACAGCGAGAATGGAGCATGGAGCAGCAGTGCTCCTTGCCAGGGCCATGTGAAAGTGGCTTCTGCTACAGTGCTTGCTTAATGGCACGAGTGAAAAGCTGAGTAAGGCAAACACTTGAAGAGGCAGTTTTCTGTAAACTTCGTGGGGTGGGGGAAATCTCCTCTCGTGGGACAGACACTGATTTGAGATGGCTAAGATCAGAAGGTGTGACACTTGGCTGCACCCGACACACACCAGTATCGCTGGCTTTAGGAGAGAGGCTACTACTGTAGCCTCTGCCTTTACTGTTACAATGTGCCGCATTCAGCTGGTAGCCCCCTTGGAAGAAATCTAAATCTTTTCTTAAGTGAAAAGATACAAAATAAGCTAAGTCTTTAGAAAACTTTCCTTAGCTTAAAGCTCCTTAAGAACCCTACATTGATACTGAGAAACTTTGTTAGCAGTGTAGCTTGACACAAATGCTTTATATGTATTCCCACCCACTTGGTACCTAATAGTAATAAATTCTAATGACACTTGAAAAACAAACATCTTGAGGAATTTTGGGCTCTTCTCATGTCCTCACTTGAAACTTCCCAGCTTTTGTGACATATTTGACTCCTTTAAATGGCTTATATTTCTCCCCATACATGTCCAAGCGGTTCACTTTTAAGCCTGTGTCAAAAAGAATGAAACAAATCATTACTATCCCAGTAATAATACAAGACTTCTTTAGCAGCGAACACTGACCCCTAGATGTGACACTGTACAGTGCTCCATTCATCATTTTGGAAACAATGCCCCTTTTCTATCATCCATGCATTATACTCTGGCCAGAAAAATGCTTGTGAATCTAGCTAATTCTACTTTGTGTGAACACAAAGGACTGCTTCTCTGGGGCATGTGTGATAGAAGACTGAAATGGGCTGTCCTCCCAGATTCTGGTGCCTGGAGGTCAGCACCACAGCAGGTAAATTGGAGTTGCTGCTCTTCCTAGGGTAGAACTGTCAGAACTCTTCCAAACTCCTGGTTCCAGTTTCTCCTAGCCACACAGCAAACTTGGCTTTACCTGAAATAGCAAGCTGCTGGATCTTGAACTGTATGTTGAGGCTGGGGTTCTCTTCTGGCTTGGGAGCTCCTGACTGCAAATTTACCAGTCCTTTAAGACTTGGGAGCTTCTGTGGAGCAATTTTCCCCACATCCCATACTAGTACCTTCAAAAGACAAGAGAAAAAAAAATCTTAACCATGTCTTAAAGACATACTCAGAGGTTAATAGACATTGTAAGCTTCTACACAAAATAAAGCAGTGTCTTAGAAAACAGGAGAAGCCTGGAATAGACAACTGATTCAGTTACTATCATTAAACTTTCAGCCACAGACTCCTTTGTTAAGTGAAATTACCTGTGTGGAAATTGAGTAATAGATAAAAGTATGGCTAAAGTTGGAGTGGAGGACCAAGGATGTGGAACTCCTCTGCTTAGACTTATATGATCCCTGGGAAGGTTCTTGAATTCTAAATGTTAGATGTTCATTTTTAAATTTTTACTTTTATTTATATGTATATGTGTGTCTATATGGGGTTGCACATGTGAACACAGAGTCCGCAGAGACCAGAAGAGGGTGTGGGATCCCCTGGAGCAGGTTGCAGGCAGTTGTGTAGCTCCAGTGTGGTCGCTGGGAACCATATTTGCGTGTTCTACAACAGCAGTTTATGTTCTTAGACACTGAGCCATCTCCCTAGCCCAAGGTTAAAAGATCTTCTAATGCTCTGTGTGGTGGCACACACCTTTATTTTAGCACTCAGAAGGCAGAGGCAGGTGGATCCCTGAGTCCAGGTCAGCGTGGTTTACACAGTGAAGTCCAGGACAGCCAGGACTACAATGAGAGAGAGAGGGAAAAAAAAAAAAAGCAACCAAACTAACAGAAAACAAAAATCAAGACAAAACAAACACCCACAAAACAACCACCTAAAAATGCTCTATGAAATTATGCAAAATTACACTTTCTCAGCTATGTGTGGTAGCACATGCTTTTAAATGTAGAACTCTTGAGTTCTAGGCCAGCCTGGGCTACATAGTAAGATCCCCCATCTCAAACAAAACAAACAAAACACACCTCATTTACCAAGCACTCATTTTGTTTTTTTGTTGAAAACTTATCACATTTTGCTATGGAAGCAAAGCAGCTGAGAGAAAATTAATCTTTTACAGTCCTCTGAAAACCTTTAGCTAGAGGCAAGGTAAGGACACTGCTTTCCTTCTGCTACGTCCTCCACACCCCACCACAAACAGATTGCAGAATACTTGCTCACTCTTAACTTGAAGTGGCTGTACCTTGGTTACTGGATCAAATGTATAGCTGCCTTGTGTTGGTGTCAGGTTCATGTTCAGCACAACTTTTGGCATGTGAACAGTCACTGTGATTCCTTCAATAGTTTTTCCCATATTCTGTTTTGGTCCAATTGTTACATCAAATCTGCCACAAGAGCTGTTTTCCTTAAAACTGATACTGTGTTTCACATACACTGGTATTGCCACTAGACTAAAAGAGACACAGAGAAACATATAAAAGTATTTATGTACAGGTATGTACACAATGAAAGGTACAAGACAGCTCCAAAGGTAGTATGTGTTCCATGCTGTCTGTAACTGTGCCACAGGGCCATATACCCTAGCAGAATGCAGTCTCTGCACTGGGGTTGTTGAGGACAGCACAGTGCTCTGTACCAGTGTGCTAGGACTGTATGGATTGATAACTAACACATAAGTCAAAGCAGAAATCTGGTTTAAATACAGTATAAACAACTGGGGTAGAGGGCTATACTTAAGGGGGCGGGGGAGAGACAGCGCACGCAAGCCATTAAAAGAATTTGAAGTGCTAAGAAATAATTTCTCAGAAAAAAGCTTTCAGTCTGTTACCCAAATGCTTTCTGATATTCTAAAGGGACAAGTTAGCTACAGCTGACGATGTTAAACTGTTTAAAACTCAATAATCCCAGCACTCAGGAGGCTGAAGCAGAGGATCCAGAGTTTGGGGCCCTATCCCCAAATTCAGTGTGAAGCAGGTAGTGGAGGGATATCTTAGGGTGTGGCTGTCTTGTTAGTTTAAGGACAATGGCAGGATTAAGGTACCAAAGTTATGGTTTGCTGAAAACATGCATGATCCAAAGGGTTATTTTTAGTTATAAATTTTAACCTCTCCCTAACTACTACCCTTTTAGGTTCAGAAATACTGTTTTAGGTACATATTATCACCAGTTCTCACGAGGTCTCCAGGTGAGCCATGCCTAAGTAAGCCATGATAAACTCAAGAACTAAGCTGTAAAAATGAATCAAGAGCAGGGCGTTCTATTCAAATTGCTGGACTGTGATGGCAAATTTACTTCTGTGAGCTGACACGGTATGATATGAGTCGGAAATTCCCATCTGGAGGAATAAATGACAAAACTCTTTCTGATTCCCAACGTTTGAACCGGATGCACGGGTGGAAGCTGACATCATCTAGAAGTCTTGGGTTCTGTCAGGAAAAGAAAAAGCCATATGTACAGAGTATAAGAAGTATGACAACAGTATTTACATATTATGATATATTAATATGCTCCCTAGTCATAAAAGCAGTGTAAAAATTTATTATGATAATATCAAAATAGTTTTATATACATTACTTGAACTTTATAAACCATGGGGAGAGAAAGCATTATCTACATTACACAGATGAAAACTGAAGTTGAAGAGAAATGGTAACGAGACAGAACCAGAACACATTTCTCCTAGATGTTTTCAGCAGTGTGTCATGCTAAATCTATATGATGCAAAATATTAATGCTCCTTTACATAAGCAGAGTAAATATCTGGTAAAAATGACAGTGGAGATCCAAAAGCTAGACCGCAAATCCTAAGCCACTTCTAGCACACTCTAGATAAAGACCTCCTTTCGACCTTTCCATAAAGGCCATGTTCAGTGTGTCAGCTCCTGTCTGCAAAGCTGTGCTAAGAATATTTTGACATAACCCTCTGTAACCTAATATAAACTCCAGGGCTGGGGAGATGGCTTAATAGGTAGAGGTGCTTGCTGAGGACCTGAGTTTGATTCTTAGGATCCATATGGTGGAAGGAGAAAATAAATTCCTGCAAGTTGTCCTCTGATCTCCACACATGTGCCCTGGTAAATACAAGCCATCTCAAGCACACACAAATACAAAAATCAACAAACTTCAGCTACAATCTTCCCTCAGGAACTGTCACATCACTTAGCACTTTAAATGTATTAGGCATGTAAGGGACTATAGAGCAGATCAAACCTACCATGAAAGAGAGCGAGAGATCAGGCATTCCAGAGAGCTTAATGCAAGCATCAATGACCCCCTGAATTTCTGCGAAGACTGTAGATCCTAGAGAAGGAAATGAAAACTGATGACCTTAATGGAATCTGGCTCTTCTCTATATTCCTCACTGTAGCTGGAGTAATGGAAACACACTCTGGGTGTGAGAAATAGTAGTAGTTCTGACTGCATTTCTTACTGGCTCCATCTAACTGGCTAGAGTATAATTCTAAGGAGTTAAAAGAAATTCTTTAGAGAGTCAAACAAGATTATTTGTACCGATGTTTAAAATATTTTAACAGAATTTAAAAATGAAGCAGTTTCCTCATGAAATAGACTAAGCTTTAGGCTACTTTTTAAGGAACAGGAGTCATGACTTATTATTTTGTATGCCTGAAGGCTATAACGGAAAGAAGACAGGTAATAAAGGATTTCTTTGCAGAGTTGGAGCCTGTCATGGCACTCGCTCTGTAGACCAGACTGGCCTTAAACTGACAGAGATCCACCTGCCTCTGCCTCCTGAGAGTTAAAAGCAACCAGAAGAAGCCTTTGGCTGAAGCACTGTACATGCAGCAGGGAGCAGCACAGGGACCGCAGCTACATGATACCTGTCAGATGAGAAAGCTGCAAGAGGGA